TGATCTCTTAAACATACATTATGCAAGAGTTAAATCTGCCTATTGTTCTTTAAACATACATTATGCAAGAGCAAAATCTGTCTATTGCAGGTCTTTCTTTAAGCCTGAAATGTTATCTAAACTATTAATTAGACATTAATTAACTTATCCAGGCCATAATCAACTATCAATGTCATCGCTAGCCTGCGATATTTACTGGGTTTTAATCCAGTTTGCTGCTAAACGCTAATTGATGATTTAATCTAAAAATGGATAATCAAGACTATGTTTTTTATCGTACCGAATTTAGTAATGATGATCGAGGCTAGGCCTAAAATTCAAAAGCTAATATCTAGGTTCAGAGCGTATCAATTTGACTGTTATTTTCAGCAAATTCCCTTTACATTATCTATTTTTTAACTATTATGCAGAATTGATCCCACCTTAAATTTCTATCAAACTCCTTTCTTTACCTGAGGTTCTTCGACCAGTTTGTTCTTTTTGGTTATTCCACCATTCTGATGTACGTTTTATTCTACCATTACTACCTTTAACACCAGGTTTACTTGATGCATTATCTTCCATTTTACTACAGTACTGTTACCTGAAAATATCAAAATACAAGAATTGTTAACTCTATGGAATTATTAATGTAAATGACACATCTATGACATTATTTATGAATAGTCCCAAAACGGACGAAAAGTACTTTAAAATGTTATTAAACCAGTGTTGAAATCAGTTTGTGTCGGCATACCTTTTACCTTTTCATCGTTTACTGTGAAACAAAGTAGTGTAGCTTTACTGTTGTGATAATATTTTTGGATATGACATTGGCATAGCAGTCATGTAGACCATTTCCCAATGTATAGACTTAATTCGCAGGCAAATTTAAATACATAAAAAATGCACGCTTGCATACATTTTGGACAGTTTTACATTAAAATAGTATGTTAAAAATTTTGGGGTGCTGAAAAACGGTGTTCTCCTGTATGAACACTACTTAATTGGCACTATTGTCTGTGTATGGTGGTCTAGAAAGATAACATTAACAAATTTTAAATATAGAACACTTTATAACATCTCAGGTGCACTTCGTATTAGAATTGCTGCGAAAAAGAGAGAGGGAGGGGAATGGGGTTTACCGTCCACTCGACACAAAAAAGGTCATTTTGGGACTAATAACATATGGTTCAATTTTTTTCAATAATCTGCTTGCGTGTAGGGTCTTTAGCAGTGGGAGGAAACTAGAGGACCCAAAGAAAACCCAAGAGGTTGGACAGGTGACCCTAGAATTATGAATAAAGTTATTATTATTATTATCATTATTAAGCATCATTTTAGAATCGATTTCAAGGTTCCAAAAATAGAGACATACGCCCTTTAACGGAAAGTGTGAACCTTGCCGATTTTCAGCAATCTCAGACTTTCTGTTCCAGAGTTATTTTATATGTTGCGAAAAGCTTCTGACCACATAGATAATCGATTTATCATCAAACTTGGTAAACTTCCAATGTTTCCTTTCCAACAAGCTGCTGTGCTGGCGTATTTCTACGTTTTCCGTGGCTATCTTTTTATTACTTGAATTTCATCAATTGTGCATGGATGTCACATACAGTCGGGGAATCGAAACCACGCCAGCTGACTCAATGACAGACCTTATGATACAGCGGGTGCCCTAACCACCCTGCGAAAAAGAAACAGGGGACTTAACATTAATATCTTGCTGCACTAAATGAAGATGACATAAGTTTTTATATGTATAATTATGGGTTAGAAATCACATACTGGAATTTAAAAAACATTCCTCTTTATAATATTGTACAATATTTCTTCATACAATGTATATCTTGTACTCCTTTTAACTACTAAAAAACTAGCATCAAATTTGTAATGGGATATATTTTTGTAACTATGTTTGGTTTATCCTCATACCAAGTTTGTACATTATACATGTATTATAGCAGGTTGTATGAAAGTGTAGGTGGCCACAAATATCCTGCGTAAATTTACTCCCATGAAAAAGACAGGGAAATATTTAATACACGATTGAAATATACACCATAGACTACAATGCTGACTGTTTTTCTAAAATATTATTACCGATAAGTCTGCTTTAAACTTCTAATATTTGAATATTAATGTATATATTTCTGAATAGACGCCCTGAAATATTTGTGGGGAAAAGAGTCGCCAGAAACGAAAGTATAATTTCTCTTTTCCACAAATCCAGAATTTTTTCTTAAGCAAATAAAACATCAGAAGAATTAAATCTAACCATAAAACTGACCGATGCAAATATAACCACGAAAAAACGCTGATAGATATTTTTGGGCTGACCTTTTTATGTCGAACTAACGCAGTGCAAATTTCAGTGCTACGCAACACATTACGTGCAACTTGTCAGGTAGAAAAGAAAGGCCCATAACCGCTGTTGTTAAACCCTCCAGCAGTCATTCAATATCCATATTTTAGGATTACTATTTTCGTGTATATGCTCCTCAACCTAAACATATCCAGCGATAATTGTTCAATATATATTACCATAAACTTGTCTTCATTTGTGAAATTTACTGAAACAATATCAATACGTGGTCTCCAGAAATTTTTAAAACGCTTCGAATGGAACAATATGACCCAAACATGCCCCTTTATCCGCGATGCGCGCCACCTGGCGATAAACTCCAGAAGCGATATACGAGCTTGTCAGTTGGAACTTTAAACCATTTTCTGAATTTGGAAGTGCAATTTCATACTGGTCGGAGTCAAACTTTATATACTTGTTGAAAAAGAAATGTAAATAAAAGTTAATACTGCAGGAATGTGAAATCTACACGCATTTTAATGATCACGGATGACTACATTTATTCCATGAAATATGGAAAGGAAAAGTGAAATTTGTTGTTTGTAAAATTTTCCATAACGTTTGATACGAATTCGAATTTATTCAAAAGAATTATGAAATATAGCCCCCCCCCCCCTCAAAAAAAAAAATAAGGTTAGAGTTATAAGTGCGAATTTTAAGACCTTTAATTGTTTAATTTTATTCATGAACTAATTATATATTTAGCCTATCATTTCTGCCACGGAATAAAACTTATGTTTGCCCAAACAGATGGAGGTGTGATGGCTTCAGTATGTCAAAGATGCATTTTTTGCGTTAATAGTGATCCTCCGAAATATATTTTTAATGGGTACAAAGTAGATGTGTTTGTGTTCCATTCAGCCTAAGTCCTTAACAGGCTTATTTCAGACCCCCTGTCCTATATAGCTTCTGTGAACTTTTTCGAACTTCTCCTGAACAGCTGTGGATTTATATTAGGGAATGTGTTGCCAGAGGCGTAGCCGTGAAATATATATTGGGGGGGTCCGCAACCCTAACCCATTTTTTAAAACCCCTAAAAAATATAAACAAACACCATGTGGCCATGCTGTCTACCAAGACACTGTGTGCAAAAGCATTATGGTTATGTTGCTGGCTGAGCGGGCGATAAATATTTGGTTTAGGCGGTTATGTTTTTGGGTACCTACATGCGATTCACTCTGATAAGTGGCAGAAAAAAATTAACAAAATATTACTGACAGGCTAACTAGACACAATTTTATGGAACACGTACTTTTCACTTCACACGTTTCCAGGATGATTTTCTCTGTGTTTTATTTTAACAGTATAAATCATATTGGGATATGTACAGGTTTTATACAGATAGAATCTTAACTAATCCTAATAATTGTTGTAAATAAATAGGAGTTGGGGCCTAGTATGTAAATTTTTGGGGGGGTCCAAGTATATTCAGACCCCCCCAGAAAAACAATTGGGGGGGGGGGGTCGGACCCCCCCATGTGTGATGCCCATGTGTGTTGCAAGGGGGTCCTTGGCCTATACACATTTTATTATTAACAAAGTTGACTGGTCATATATAAGGGCATCAAAATGGGCAGATTAATAAAGTTTCAACTCCTACCAACCCACGAAATGGACTGCATCTCATTTTGGTTCATAGTTGCATGATTGCTTGTTTGATCGCCTGGAAAGATGAATTAGTCTTAAAAGACAAATAAATATAGATTTACGACTTCCTCTCTTGTACCATTTGATGGATTTCCACCAAATTTAGTAGGTATATTGATGCGCTTATTCAGATTTACATTGCTAAGTTAAAGAATGGTGCTTGGGCTATGCTTATTTTGAGTTAGTAAAAGGCAGTTGATCGGTACCATACCGACGGTTCCACCTTAAATGGTCAGATTTAAATGTTTTGACTCCTAAACCATATGACATGGATTTTAGCCAATTTGGCAGGTATGCTGCTATTTAGATCTGTTCAATTCAATGTTGTTGGCCTCATAGACCTGTGGCTGTAGAACCATAAAAGGGCAGATTTAAACAATTTAGACATTTTCTTCTCAACTACTTGATGGATTTACCAACAAATTTGGTAGTATAACTTTATCCTGTAGAATGCCCTCAATACCAGAACTCTACATAGTGATTATGAGAGAAAGAGAGAGGAGAGAGAAATGGGGTTTAACATTCACTCAACACAAAGTTGGTCATTATGGGACTAACATATGGTTCAATTTTATTCAATAATTTGCATGAGCATAGGGATCTTTAGCAGTATGAGCAAACTGGATTAATGGTAATAGGTAGTACATGGCAACTAATTTCTCCATACTACTTTAAAACAATGCAACTGAGTTTTAAAAAGATCAGAATGGACTAAAGAACAGTTGCAACTAAAGTATACGTCATATGACCACTTTTCAATCTGGGCTTCTAAAATATAAATTGTTTACCCCTGAAGGACAGACCAAAAAATAAATTTCCAGCATTAACCAATGAAAAGGTACACATGTACAGAATTTCCAATATTAACTAATGAAAAGGTACACATGTACAGATTTTCTATCATTAACTAATGAAAAGGTACACATGTACAGATTTTCTAGCATTAACCAATGAAAAGGTACACATGTACAGATTTTCTAGCATTAACCAATGAAAAGGTACACGTGTACAGATTTTATATACATTTTTATAAATTCTTCCAATTTTATAAGTTAGTTTACATTTATGCTTTTACATTATTAGCAATATGTACATTTACATAAATTTGCGCTCATTGTTTTCTCTCCAATACCAATATCATAATTAAAAAATCATCAATTTCAAAACAGAGAAATCCCACAGAGTTAGGCAGACAAATATAAAACAGGTACTGGTATATTCTAATCTACATGTACTTATGCAATCATTGAGTCAGATTCAATATAATTCATTGTGCAATGTTGTGTACCAGGACATCCACTTTTTCGCGGAGATCAACTTTGTCCACATTCTGTTTTTCTTAAATAATATCTAAGAATTTTTTTCAAAGAATAAAACATACATATATATCAACTTTTAAGTGATCGTTCATATAAAACAGTATTTCTCCATCATTTTCAGTAGCATCAAACATATGTAACAAAACATGGATGTTAAACAAAACTTATCTTTTACAAGAAAAAACATCACAGTATGTTCTATATCCTGCAGTAAAGAAATTAGAAAAATATACATGTATATCTAACAAAGCCAGTAGCAAGAATATAAACATACACATTAGTTCTTTTTCATAATTCCGGAAAAGTATGACGTTTAAAACCACATTTCACTTCATTTCAGAATACAATAATACAAACTGAAATCACCAAGGCACACACAATCTTTGTTAAAGTCCCACTGCATCATTTGCATTTTTTGCTAAAATAGCAAATTTGTCAATGCTTAATCCACACTAATGCGTACAAGTCCTCAGATTGATTAATTAACATTTAATTAACAAATCAAAATACCAATGTTAGATAATCTTTCGGCTTAAGATTAAAACAGATTTAAAACAGGCCCATCAATTACGTTCACAGACAACAAAATAGTGGCGGCTTATTACATGGCAATGAGACTTGAATATTCTGAAAAAGCAAGTTACTTCGCCAGAGAGAATATCAAATAAGTGATCATACAACACTAATATTAATTAGAATATTCAGGTTGGTTTTAAAAATTCAACCCAGGTTTGTACACATGACTACATCCCAAATTAATACTCCATACAAGATACATGTATTTAAAGTGACATTGACAGAGACAATAAAAAAAATTAAAAACAAAAAAGCACAGCATAAGTTGATGTATCACTTATACCTAGGGCAGACGAGCGCATTTTTTCACATATTTAAAATCGCTTGAAAAACTTGCCTGTGTGCCCATTCACGGCAACGACAATCTGCTTGGCAAAACATTCACCCAACCGATCGCCGGTATCTAGCATGTTAGATATTTTCGGCCGAATGTTTTACACCAGCAATCGATGCGTTGGCAGAAGAATTAGTGATTCTTTGGTCAAACTTCAAGATTCGAGAGTTTTAATAGCAAATAAATAGCAGCTACCACAGCAAGCTTATGTTTTAGGAGATTCGCCATTTTGCACAAGTCATGTGATCGATGTAATTTACTCGCAGAGTGGCGTACACTTTTTGAGACGATCGCTATGTGTGCTAACACGTGATCGGCTGTAAGAAATTGCTGCCAAATGTCAATCGCTACAATCAGGTGAAAAAATACACTTGGCTGCCCATAGCTATAGAAACCAGCCATATTTGTCCTGTAAGTTTGTGTTTTTTTAAGGAGTATGAACCCTGACAGAAAAAAATAAATTTATTGTTGCATAGACTGAAGATTTTGGATTGTATGCTTTTGAAATCTACATAAGGATAAAGTAAAGCTGTAGGTGTGAACTGTGGAATGGTAAAACAATGATGAACACTAGAATATAAATACTTATACCATATCCATCTTATTCTGATACTTAACATGTCAGCCCTCAAAACCTAAAATATGCCAATATTACAACAAAATATTTCCAATAATTTAAATAAATGTATCACAGTTCAAAGCGATATGACGTCCTTAATCTAAGTGTCTATTTTCACGATTTGCACCATTATTAGATCTCCAAGATGTAAAAGCTGCAAACATAAAAAGAAAGCTTATTCCTGCTAAGGAAAGGGTTGATATAGCATTAAAATATTGTTTATAGTTAAATCTAAGATACCACAGAGTACCAAGTAATAAACCAAATATGGGTATCATAAAGTTTCCAATATTTATATCATCCTCGGTATCGTAATTGTCTCTGGGTTCAGATCGCACATTTTGCGTCACCAAGCAATGAAGCACACTGTTATCTACTATATTACACGACTGAAGGGTTGAAGTTTCGTTTCTAAGATCTTGACCATTAAAAATTAATCGAACCAGTTTTTGCTGTGATAGTTCTTCTGAGAAATGTGTTCTGAAATAAAGAAAACAATTGTCTCAGTAGAATTATCAAGTTTACTTACAGTATCATTAAAATTGAGAAACTACTTGCACAGTATGCCAAAGTAAAATTAATCCTTTGACAACCAGGGGGGTGGGGGGTAAGTGATATTTCACAAACGAAATGACTTCTGTCAGTACTATTAGAATTGAGAACCCACTTGCACAGTATGCCAAAGTAAAATGAATCCTTTGACAACCAGAGGGGTACAATGTAAGTGATATTTCACAAAAAAAAATGACTCCTGACATCATTGGTTATATCAGATTTCTCAAGAACACAGCTGATGTGATAGACAAAAAATCTATTTCCTAAATCTGGGTGATTTGATGGAAGCATTCTCCACCTTTGCCTTTTTTGTTTTCATGACAACATCAAGAATACATACTGTACCTTCTAAAAAAACCAATAGTATCGAGAGGCCTGGCAAACACCAGTCTTTGTGTATCATTCAAATACTTCAGTCTTACTCGAATCTGAATACTATCTGTTTCTGCGTCCAGGGGTGGGGGCTGTTGTGTATCACTATTTCCATCACTTACAACATCACTAGATGCAGTGGGAACTGTAACTGGCATTTCTGGTGAAGTAGAATTCTTTACTTCTTTAGAGGATTCTCCAGTATTTTGAGACAGAGTAGCACTATCAGATGGACCATTTTCAAAAAATGCCACTCTTCTTCTCCGTAATTCATTTTCTGCCAATTGTTGAGATTCTTGTGTATGTGAAGACGCCTCGGAACTATTAGCTTCTTGAGATGGTGAACTGATAAATTGTTGAGATGACTCATTCCCTAAATTAACTGATGTAACAATTTCAGACTCAATGTTGTCTTCATCCTCCTCACTATTTTCTGTTTCATCACCTTCTTCTTCATCATCATCATCATCATCCAAAACCGACGTATCTAGTCCTAGAGCCGCATTCACATTATCAAGAGCAGTATTGACTACATCGCCTAACGAACTACCATCACTGTTATCTACATGAACTATATTTTCATTTGCATTAAGTTCTTCATTATTAACATTTTCTTCAACATGTTCACCTACATTTTGACTAGGGTTTGCTGTCTGTCTGTTATTTCTGTTAGCTCTTTGAGAAAGTTCTACAATAATCACACTAAAGAAAGGGATATCAGATGTGTGGGTCGAAAACCAGGCCAATAACCCTACGATTAAAACTACTAATATACCAATTACTATTGTTACTTCATCTCCTAGTCCTTCAATGAGAGGCATTTCTTTGCTTTTATAGTTTTATCCCCAATTCAGCTCTAATCTGCAATTCAATTATTATATTTTTATGATAATTTTATACACAACAATGGAATGCAAATATAGGAATCAAAGAGATCTATTTTAGTACTAGTACAGTAGTAAGTGGCAGCAGAACAGGCTTTTTGCCAACTTGATAATATAATCAAGTGATTATAACTAATAGTAATTGTATTTATTATATAAATTCAAAAATATGAGGTGCTTAAATGTACAACAAAATACATAATTAATAATAGGCCTAGCCCCATGGGCGTATGGCTAATGATAAAATATAGTAGATCTATCTACCGCCGTACCGAGTAATGATACTGATAGTGATAGTATTATAATACGTATGTAAACTACAACTTAGTTAATGATGACCAACCAGAGGCATGGATACAAGCTTTTAAAGGAATGTGGACTGTAAATTTTATTATATCCTGGTACATATTTATATTACCGTGTTATGTTACGTACGTTTTTTGACATAAAATTTTTACGTGTTCTTAGGTCGCCATGTTCCCGGAAGTTATGATCTGTCAAGGGAAATAACTCCCGTTTCGTTGTTTCAAGCAAGCATTTTTTGCTCAGTGTTAAAAACATTCCCTATTTAGCACCGACTTGGTAATAAAATTATCGCTTATGATGTATTAATTTGTTTGTTTTTTTTTGTTTTGTTTTTTTTTCTTCAAATTAGTATTTCGTTTCGTGTGAAATTCCGACCATTCAATCATTTGAATGAAACCGGATGTTTGGCCTTCTTTTGTTTTGTTTCCCTGCAAATTGTTATTATTCACGTATTTTTGTCAAGTTGGCATTGCAATGTCATTTAAAGCAGAGACTTTGACTAATTCATCATAAAATGACACACGATTCCCAAACTGGCATTTCCGTTTTAGAGGAAGATGATATTTTATCTAGTAAAAATAAAACCAACAATGTCAATAAACCAGAACTTACCAAAAGAGGGGTGATTTTAATATTAGGAACGTTTGGGGGATTATTTGCAGGAATTTATGCTGTTGCTACTCCATTTGTTTCACCAGCATTGAGAAGAATATGTCTACCATTTGTTCCAGCTACTCCTCTTCAAATTCAAAATGTTTTTACGGCATTAACTAAACGAACTGGATCATTGATTGATATAGGAAGTGGAGATGGTAGAATTGTAATTTAAATTCATATTATTATAATAATATTGTATTTTTATGATCATAGTATCACTGAGAAATTTTGAAAGATGCATCCCTTCCTGCATTTTTTTAATTTCAAATTTGTTTCATTTGTCAGACAGCATTAGTCTTGTTGAATTCATTCTGATACATATTAAATGCTTCAAATATATTTTTATATCCATAGTATAGCAGGCTACTGATGATCCCAATATCTGTCTACCGGTAATGAGCCAATAAGTCTCTGCCATAGATAATTTTACAGTGCCGGGTCTGTAGACATCTTGATATAGCTACCTATACTAGTCCCATTTTATTGAAGAAAATGATAAAGTTGTAATAAAAAACATTTGCACTTTGATCCACCCAGCATAATATATGTGACATTCACCCTGCACTCTGCTAATTGATTATATTCCATTTTTTTTCATGTCATTTGCCAGAAGTACAATAAGCTTTTTCATGGCGAACCATTGCATTTGCCCTCGGCTTTCTGTTCCTTGTCACAAAAACTTGATACACAGAGTAAGAACATGGGTTTCCAGGACATTTAGTAAACCTATTGGAAACAGCAGGCAAATACAATGACATCATCTTTTGAATATACATAAAATTAGAATTATAGATTATAAAATATTCAATTATAACCTTTTGATCTTTCAATTAATTTTTTTTTGCAGGTTTTAGATGCAGCACGACAAGGATTTAAATCAAGTGGAGTTGAATTAAACTACTGGTTAGTTTTGTACTCAAAATATACAGCATGGAAAAATGGTCTTTCTCCACAAGTATCTTTTTTCAGGAAGGATTTATGGAAGGTAATACATGCTTGATTACCTTTTTAGCACTAGATCTTGAGCTCTTTAGACTGCCCAGTCACTTGCTTAGCTTTCGCGCCAACAAGAACTAGTAAACGGTCTTATACATGTAAAACAGAAATCTGGTCACATATATCTGGCAATCTGAGGAACAGCAGTTTTACACTGTTTTGTTCTGTGTCCAGGGACGTACCAGTATTAATTTTTTTCAAGGGACTGGGGTAGTTAACATTTACAAGTACTAAAGGACAATATTGCTGTCCACAATTTGGAATTGTTCTTTAGATTGCAGGTCTAAAAATTAAATTACATATTTAGTATAAAGTGTGTGTGAATTTCAATCTTGGTACTGCACCATTAACTTGTGGAAGAGGATGGTTAATTAATTATTCCAAATGGTAATTTAGTGTTTTCTTCTGTATTTAATATTTAAAAGGATCAGAATTTGTGACAAATTGGCTTGAGGTGAAAAATATATATTTCTAACTTTTTCTATTTTCAGACATCTCTGTCTCAGTATGATAATGTTGTTATTTTCGGTGTGGAACAGATGGTAAGTCCAGTCATTCTGCTTGGAATAGATCAGAAGTATATTCTTAATAGAATGAGGAAAAACAGGTGAAATGCCGAACCCAATACAATTAGTTGTAGTTCATATCATTAAACAAACATTATGCAAGAGCTAAATCTGCTTATTGTAGGTTCTTTCTTTAGGCCTGAAATGTTATCTAAATTATTAATTAGACATTAATTAACCTATCCAGACCATAATCAACTCTAGATGGCATCGCTAGCCTGCGATTTTAAGTGGATTGTGAGCCGATTTACTGCATAACTTTCTTTCTCGATTAAACGATTAAATGGATAATCGAGACTATGCTGCTTATCGTACTGATTTTTGTAATGATGACCGAGGCTAGGCAGAAATTTCATTCGCCTAGTTATCGGTTCATAGTGGATCAATTTGAATGAAATTTTCAGCAAATCTAGTTTTTAATTATTATAGTGAGAACTGCCAACTCGTTATTGAATCTCCCATAATGTATCTTTCAATTGCTTGCAGAAAAGGCTTTTTAGCAGTAAGAGAAAACTCTATGATCTTAAGAAAAGTGACAAGATGAAATCATTTGTGAGGAAATGACTCGGATCATTCAATCTCACAATCCTCACCCCATTTCTAAATATAAATGGTGTTTGTTAAGCATATCCGCAATATCACCCATGGCCCAACAGTTCCTGATTAATGCTAATTTATTACTACTTCAACATTCTTGGGAGGATCACGGTGGGTAAGACGCTGGTTCACTAACCTGGAGGTCGGGTGTTCGATCCCTGCATTGGCTGAGAAAGTTCATCCAGATTTTCCGAGGTGGTTCTCCCTTGTCAGTGATACAGGATGGAGGGCCTGACAAGGACAGCTGTCTAGTCATTCGGATGGCATGCACGTAAAAGATCCCTTGACAGATGGAATTCGATATAAGAGTAGGCTGTAGTGCCTCTGTCCAGGCAAAATTTCCCTCATAGTACACTGTATGGCATATGCCTGTCTTCATTAGCCCAGTCGGAGCAGAACAGTAGAACGTTAATCCCCATTTCATTTCAACACTTCTGTGGCTGGGGAAAGCTATTGATAGTGATTTATATCTGTATTAAGCAATTAATATGAAGGGTCTAGCTAAATGCACAGTAGGTTAAAAGCAGATTATCTGACAAAAAGCTTTAAACCCAAAGAGAAACTAAACCAAGGTACTGTTTATTTTCCAGATGTCAAAGCTAGAGGAGAAATTAGACAAAGAACTGGTAGAAGGAAGACATGTTGTGGCATGTAGATTTCCATTTCCAACATGGCAACCCGCGAAAACAATAGGAAGTGGTGTTGATACAGTTTGGTTGTATATAAAAGGAAGAGAAAAACTTTGTAAAGATAACCATAATAATCCAGTCTGATATTTATTAAAAATGTTTTGAAGTGATGTTATTTTTATTATCAGACTATTTGAGGGTCAGTGTGTTTAAGAAAGAATGGCTCTTTCCTACATGTGATGAAATAGATGACAGTGTGTTAACCCTGTAATGCAATTTGTTACACAAAAATAGTGTTCTTTAATGCAAAGAATTAGAGCACAAAAGTGAAGCCAACAGTAATGGTTCTTTCCTACATGTGATGAAATAGATGACAGTGTGTGCCATGAACCCTGTAACACAATTTTTTACACCAAAATAGTGTTCTTTAATGCAAAGAATTAGAGGACAAAAGTGAAGCCAACGGTAAGATGTTCATGGTGAGATACATACAGACAACATTAATCGGGAATATCCATGAGTTAGACTATATTATATTTGGATGATATACTTCATGTAATTGATCTTGCAATAGTGAAGTGTTAAAAAGTTACCCTTTTACATTGCAGATGACAGCATTAAATTAAAACATAGAATAATAAAAGGATTTTATTTTCAGATACATGTTTGGTGTTCCTTTGTAATTTGTATGACTCTTCTCTTTTAACTTAAATTAATAATACTTAGTATCAAAATAATAAAATAAGCATTAAATATCTTTGCATTAAAAAAATATATCAATAAATTGTGTTTAGATTTATACATGTACTGGCCTGGAAATAACGGTTTTAGATGTACCCAACAAAATGTCGGGCACTAATGAAATTGTAGCTGACATTTTCATCTTAGTGCCGGACATATTATATTAATAATATCAATAACAAAGACAAATCAGTGCCGGACAAAATAACAGGCGCCAGAGGTTTAGTGCCTGACAAAGCCTGAATCTGTGCCTGACAAAGTCTGTGACAGGTGCCTTATTTCCAGCCTTGCACATGTAATTAAATGTACCCTTTATAACCTCTACATTATTTGCAAGCTGTAGGAGGGAAATTGAGACTATATCATTATGATTACCCTTCTTCAGATAAATATACATCACTTATGTTCTACTAAAGACATTTAAAAAATTTAAGACAGGTCAAAAAAGAAACTAATATCATAAAACAAAGAAAGATCTCTCAACCCAATCCCAAACAGATTTGCACCCAGAGACTAGTTGAGTTCTTTAAATCAAAAATACAATCAAAAGTTATGTACTTACTCCAAAACTATGTAAGGTAATGTTAAATAGAAATAATATGAAATCAATGGCATACAGAAGAGAATATCTGGCTTTAATTTATATTTTTAAATAAACATTATCAGATTGCCAGTATTAACAGTTCACACTAAAATACACATATGTGACCAGCTCTGGCTAAATAAAAGACACATTCTGTACATGTATCACCCTTATTTTAGATATGCAACAAAACCAAATCTATTTGGTGAACACTTGCTTTTTTGTTGGCCATTGTCTTGATATCTTTATTTCAGTAATTTACAATTGCTTTTTTTTTCTAAAAATGAATATCATTTTAGATATCTCTGGCATTGTGTAAGATAATGCACATGTCTTTGGATACAGAAGTTAAATTTATAAATACATGTACCAGTAGCTGTGTTTTAAAATTTTACCAATGTGTCTCATTAGGTCATGTAGCCAGTCGTATTTAATTAAAATAATAAAATAAAGACCCCATTTATATGATGATAAGCTAATGAATATTTTTATATAATCAAAGATTAAAGGAGCTAAGTCGCTAATATTTGGGACCTAGAAATTGACACAAATGGGTCGCAACGCATACAATAATGTAATATGAAAGCATATAAATTGATTTACATTCAATCGTTTCTGTAATTTCTAATCAGTTAGTTTCGGCGAAATACACCTGTATTCTCAATCGAATTTCAATCTCTAGCGTCTGGTTATTCCAGTCTACATCGATAGTATTTATTGGGCATGCTCTCCAGATAAGAATATAACGTCACCGTTTGACATGACTTGTGGAATATGCCTAGCCTCGTTTTTCTAGTACCTTCTTACAAATAGTGCTGAAACACATTATGGTACACGATTCGTGTACCAATTGTAAAATGTTTATTTTGTCTTAATTATTGGATATCAGAAGGCCATTTTTTCCCGGTAAGATCACAACATCAATGTTGATTTAAACCGACAAATAAATCGTGTTTTCAATATCGAAGATTTTGGATGATATTGAGTTAGAGACTTAGCTACTTTAATTAAAGTATATTAGTATAGTATATATATTAAATGTAATAGAACTATTGAGATCATTTGACATAAAATATTTCATAGAAATATATACAGACAGCTCAGTCTCAACCAGAATAAATGATGGTAAATTACAAATGCTAAGACCAAAATGTTTTTCAGAAAATCATGCTAATCTAACTGTAATACAATGTGCATCTCAATTCATACTTCTCAATAGGATAAAATATAATAGTGTAAAAGGAGGATTGTAGTTTCCTGAACAGTCAAGAACGACCATCAACGTTGATATATACTCTTCAAAAAAAAAAGTAGGGGATATTGAAATGCAAATACCTATGCAGGTTGTGATATGATAAATAGTCATGGATACTTGACATGCTTTGAGAGTATGTTCACAGATGAAGAACTTATCGCCCCAACAGAACCACTGAGCTGCACATGCGACACGCAATAGCGCCGTACACGTGGGAGGGGTTCATTGTCAAATTTGACACTTCAAGGAAGGGTTGATAAAAACTGCCGTGTGCTGGTTTATCTATCCATGTTAGCATTCCTATCGGTTCTTGCATAAGATTTACTGTTTAGCGTATCTTTGTTTTAGTGTGTTACGTTTATTTTCATCGTGAGACGTGTTTGTCAACGTCAACCGACAACACTGCAAGAATTGCCTGTGACACTGCAAGGGGAGTGGGTCAGATTGCCCCAAATCGTGATTGGACGGTTGATTAGGAGCATGCCACGACGAATTACTGAATGTCTGAGGATTGGTGGATCTATTACTCATTATTAAGACAAAAATCAAAAACGTCCATTTTCACTTTTGACGGTGTATGTCGTTCTTTGCGAGTGAAATGGGGCCGTCAGATAAGCCGCCCATATGAACTGTTTATGTTTATGTGTAGGCAATTGGCCTGTTAATAACATACACTGGTTACCTCTAATAAAAACAGCAGTGCATTTCCGCATTGTTTCTGAATATCCCCTACTTTTTCTGAAGAGTATATATCATCAAAGATCTTTTGCCATTTAAATAATAAAATGAGAGCAATAAAGATTATGTCATAGCTGTCAAAATTTTTAAAAACTTTCATCCATATCAAAATGGCTCTTGGAAGATAATTTTGAAGCTGAACTATGGTATTGTTCGAGTTATCTTTTCTGCTGTAAAGCATCATCTATAACTTTTCTCATATATCTAATAACTTCACGTGGATTCTCGTTCTTCACAATAGCACTACCAGATACAATTACATTTGCTCCAACCTGCAGATAAAAACAAAACAAATATTATACATGTTAAAATCTTGATACAAAAAATTGTAGTCTATATGCATGTTTTAAATTCTTTGAGTGTCTTAAAAGACTCAAGCTAAAACAGTTCTACATTTCAGTTCAAGACATTTACAACCTTGACCAAAGAGTATGTGTCGATCTAGAATCTAAATATCACCTATTGTTCAATATGCCCCCATTATTCTATCAAATCTTAAATTTCAGTCCTTCACGTTTAAGGGGAGCTTTTGCTCCTCTCGACGCACATCGACTTTTCGAAGGAGTCATTAAAGACTCCCGCAAATTAGCTAAATCTCTCTCCTAAATATTGAGATTAATAAACTACTTTCAGTTTTTGTTTACTTTTAAACTGCATATATTCAAGGTATCAGGAGCTTTTTATTGCTCCCGCACAATTTTATAAACATGAAGGACTGAAATTTCTGATTGCTTTCAACAGGTTACTGAGTTTAGTATAGGAGGATGGTCTTTGGGAATATTTCTCAAAAACTTATAGTCATTTTATGTGCTCCTAGATTTAAATGATTATTTGAAGAATACTGATATTCCATTAACTATAAGTTCCTATACCCAATAAAGGAATATTAGTATCTGCTAATAACTGCTTTCAATCTCACATTTTGACAAGTTGGATCCGGATTGCAGTTATGACAAGTTTATTCAGTATGTGAGAATATATGTGCAAAGGCTGAAGCATTTGCACCAATCAACTCTAATACTGGTCTCTAATACTGGTAGGTCAGCTGAATAGATTATTATTACAAAACATGCATAATGATAATAAGACATACATCAGCACACTGTTGTATAGTTGAGGGCCCAACTCCACCATCAACCTCAATATCAAGATTTTTATATTTCTCTCTTAAAAACTTAACCTAGGAAAAAAAAGACATGATTAAAAAACCTTATTTAACACTTATCTTCAGAGATGGGTTAAAATGTCCTATGACATCAAGTCTGTAGCAGTTAGGGACAGGAATATTAAATGTAAATTGAATAGCTAGAATATAGCAGGCCATAAAATCTGATTCTGCTCCAATCTTTGGTATCTATTCTATAGCATACACAATATTAGAAGGCGCAGGATTATTTTGATATCTTAAAGGAGGTTTTTTATAATGATCTTTCAGAAAATATCAAATTTTCCATGGTACAGTTGTCGTAAAAATGTAATCAGATTGATTATTGAAGAAAACAAAATAAAACAAGTTTGAACATTCTAGCTCAATTAAAAGTTATCGTGTCCCAAAGCATCAACCAATCAAATTGCTTATCTCTGCTTACCCTAAGCGGAAAATGCTCATCTTCGAACTCCATCAAGGCATTGACCTAATCAACACATACACCAAGTTTGAACATTCTAGCCCAATTAGGAAGAGAGTTATCGTGTCCCAAAGCATCAACCAATCAAATTGCTTATCTCTGCTTACCCTAAGCGGAAAATGCTCATCTTCGAACTCCATCAAGGCATTGACCTAATAAACACATACACCAAGTTTGAACATTCTAGCTCAATTAGGAAGAGAGTTATTGTGTCCCAAAAAGTGTGACGGACAGACAGACAGACAGACAGACGGACGAACCCATTTTAATATTCCCCTGCTTTCTTCGAAAGGCGGGGGACAAAAATAGATTGTTGATATGTTGAGCAAGTGATCCTTCTCTGCACACTTGTTATTAGACCACTCAAACCACTACCCCCACCCCTAATTTGATTAGGACTAAAGACAGAAACTACTGTACAACTAGGATATGATTGGTCTAAAATTCATAATAAACCAAGTTGGTGTGTCATTGAAATAATAATACCGGGTAATAGTAATCCGGCCGGTAATGAAGTATTAATTATAACCCTGTGTTGGATGATGACTCACAAATTTAAGTACATGTAGCAATTTCACTGCTTTGTTCATTGCCTGTATAGCACGTTATTTCCTTCTTTAATGTACTTATCAGATTCTATGCACTGGTATATGTGGATGTTCATAAGCTTAAATACCAATAGAATTTTTGCAGGTTTTTTTTTTTTTTACCTTTGGTAGACATTCGGCTATAAATGACTGTCCTCCAAATCCCGGATTAACTGTCATGACTAGAATAAGATCAACTTGATCAACATATGGTAGAACAACTTCTACTGGTGTAGGTGGATTTATACCTAAACCAACCTAAAATAAATTAAAAGTTTAAGTAATACAACAAAAAGGGTTTAGAATTTGATGCACCCACAAAACAAATTAACTCTTGTGCGGATACAAGGTGTATTTCGGGACCCAACAACCATATCCTTAACATTTGTGGGGAATTGGTTTATAATTGTCTAGAGAGAACTTTATACATTGTCAGCTACTTAACTTTGGGTATAATGCTGCAAATAGAATAGAGGTGAGACAGTGGCAACATTCACCATTTGACAAGAGACTAACAGTATTACATTATCGAAAACAAGGGGTCTTGTGGACCCCCTCCCATCTCTTTTAAACATTTTACTGGTTACAAGTTCCTAATCTGTTCTGTGCTCAGTGCAAGCTTTGTATTTGGAATCATTCTCACTGATGATATTGTGTTGATCATTCTAGTAATCTAGATCTGAAAACAAATCTAGGTACCCTACCAACCCCGTCAAAAGACGATTCTACATTGGAAATGACAATTAAGCTATTTGCAGATTTTGATGGTTTCAAAGATAGCTTATATTTCATATCTTCACTGTTAATACCTCAAATATATTTTTTTTTACTCTGATTGATTATTCTTCAGTTTTATATGAAGCTCTAGTTTGATCATATCTGAATAAAATTATAAATATAAAAACCTATTTATGTCTGAGGTCTTTGGGTAACGTGTCTGCACAAGGGTTAAACTACTGGTACATGTAGTTCAATTCTATGTCGGGAAATAAATGTTATTATGGTTTACATGGAGCTACCTCCATTGTTAAGATTTTATTTAAAGGGATTCCAGTGTGCTATAAACTAACTGTATCAATGTATCAAGTACATACTTCAAGATACTAAAAATAAATTATCAAAAGAACACCTGCTTAAATGTTGATTAAAATATATTCAGTTCTACTGGAAGTTCTACTGAAGGTGACATGTAGGCCTACCATATATCCAGTACTGTTATAAGCCTTTAATATATAATTTATTTGTATATTCCTTACTTGTGTTGATATAGTTTTTGTTTCTTTTGCCTTTCGAAGTTTGGAGTGTTTTTGTTTTATATTTTAGTTGGACATGATATCAAAATACTATACCTTCATGCCAGCTTCTTTTATTTTTCTAATACACAATTCAGGATCTTTTGTAGCTTCGAAATGAAACGAATACATATCACCACCAGCATCAGCTACTGGTTCAACCCACTAAAATTAATAAAATAAGAACAGGCTTGTGTAAATTTTTAGTAGGGCTTTAATTAAACCCCATTTCATTCCTTTTCATGTGAAATATTAGGTATTTGCGAAAGATTATTTCCATATTATTTTCCAAATGTGAGATACACCCATAACTAATGTACATGTATGTTCTACAGACAAGCACTGTAATAATTTATTAGTCTTGAACTATCATGACCTAAAAATATGTCTAGTTAAAAAACAAAAATTTAATGTAAGCTCTAAAAATGGATCAATCTATCAACAATTTAATAAGTTAAACTCATATAAAAAAAAATTCATATCCTGTGTATTAATATTATTTGAAAAAGCATGATAAAATAAGAAGTGTGATAATATACACATTCTATTTTTTTTTCTAAATGAAATAATGACTAAGCATATCTATATACAGCTATATCATCCTGTGGAAAAAACAAAACAAAAAAAAAAAAAAAAATCCATTAATTCAAAACTTGCTAAATTCAAAAGTTAACACCATAATTCAATGAAAATTCGTAATATAACATTAGTTCAATATATTTTTTATCATATCTAATAAATATTGAAACCATCTTTGGAACTTTTAGTAGTCCTAGAACTAGCGAAGTAGGCCTTGACACAATGTTACTTGCATGAATTGAGAGTTTTGCCTATTATTAAAGGTCGGCCTGTATGTATAGGTATCCCTTGGTCAACTGTTTATGGTAGCACTAAATTATTATGAACATACGGAATGTCAATCCATCTCCAAGGTTATAATTCACAAAACTAAATTACGTGTAACGAAACAAAAAGAGCAAACCTTTTCTGGATCTTGAACCATCATGTGCATTTCAAAGAAAACTCCAGGCAGCTTCGGCCGCAGGCATTTTACAACAGGATGGCCGAATGTAAGGTTCGGAACGAACTGGCCATCCATTACATCAAGATGTAAATAATCGGACCCACATTCCATAAACCGCTGACATTCACTGGCAAGTGAAGATAAGTCCGCATTTAAAATTGAAGGACCGATTCTGCAAGCACTGCCATTGGAGGTCGCCATCTTGGATAATATGTTACAACAAATTTCGTCTGCTCAAATTAAATGGAACGAAATATAATATGATCAGATTGTGTGTGATGATAGTGTGGAGTGAAGGGGTACTTTCTTGTTTTTTAAGTGCAGCGGAATAATTTAATCCCATTAAACACGAAACTGTTGTATATTTGCGCGGATTTGCATTTTGACATGCTGTCATTTGACCAATTAAGCGCACTATATAAAAGTGGTGGACTATTGATTACCATAGCAAATACATATTATTTTAATGGAATTTTAATATTTTTATTTATCTTTTATTTATTTTTTTTTCATTCATTTAAAAACAAATATTTTTAAAAAAATTTAGTTCTTTTTTAATTGTATTTCATTTCCCTTGTATATGTAACAAAAGTCAAAGCACTCCTTTAATTTCTGCGGTATGTGGTCAAAAGGAGCGCATTATCCTTTACCAACTTGAATTTGATGTAATATAGTAACTAGACTCGTAACAGTTGTAGTACCCATGGACAACTGCTTATGGGCAGTGTGAAGTTAGCTCGATTTTCGTTTTTCAATATTATTGGTGAATATCGAAAAACAACTTGCTCGTTTTTCGATATTGGCGAATGTCGAAAAACGAGCTACTCGTTTTTCAGTATTCAAACTTGAATCTCAAAAAAGCAGATTTGATGGATGTATATCTCAGAATACCTCCAAAACACATTTGATTAAATTAGTTTTCTAAAACGAAATAAAGATATCATAAATGGGGATGCCTGAGCAGTGGATTCACATAAAAAATGCTCTTTCTCCTTGGTTTTTGATATTGGCGAATGTTGGAAAACAAGCTAATCGTTCTCCGATATTCAAACTTGAATCTCGAAAAAACAGATTTGATTGATGTATATCTACAGAATGCGAAACACATTTGATTAAATCAGTTTTCTATAACGAACTAAAGCTGTCATAAATGAGGATGCCTGAGCAGTAGATTCGCATAAGAGCTGCTCGAGCTACTCATTTTTCGATATTCAGACTTGAATCTCGAAAAAAAACCAGATATAATGGATGTATATCTACAGAATGTCTCCAAAGTACATTTGATTAAATAAGTTTCATAAAAAGAACTAAAGATATCATAAATGAGGATGCCTGAGCAGTGGATTCACATACAAGATACTCTTTCTCCTTGTTTTTTTTTATATTGGCGAACTTGAATCCCCAAAAAAGCAGAATTAATGGATGTATGTCTACAGACTGTCTCCAAAACACATTTAATTAAATAAGTATTCTAAAACGAACTAAAGATATCATAAATGAGGATGCCTCAGCAGTGGGTTCACATTAAAAAAAAGCTCGTTCTCCTTGTTTGTTGATATTGGCGAATGCCTGAGCAGTGGATTCACATAAAAAATGCTCTTTCTCCTTGGTTTTTGATATTGGCGAATGTCGGAAAACAAACTACTCGTTTTTCGATTTTCAAAATTGAATCTCAAGCTAACTTCACACTGCCCTGTTTATGATACTAATTTGTCTAATTGGGGGCATAAAATTACATTATGTTAAAAATAAACGAAATAGCGTTAATGAAAGCGTGGTAACATTATAACCCCGTGGCTTAGTCTTTGTACAATGACGAGTGCATACTATCCTAAAACAATAATTAAATCCGAACAGTCAGATTTTTCGGACAAACGGGCAAAAATAATATAATATAGGTTTGACCGACGTGGATATTGTTGGAACTCTCTAACGTTGGATTTCACGTTATTCGGCGATTAAATCGTATATATCAGGAACACAAGGATTTTTTATATACATTTTTATATCAAGCAGGATTCCAAGTTTACAAGCATATGTCTATATAAAACTCAAAGATAACATCTTTCAGTCTCTTAACCATTATACTAAGCTCGCAGAACGAGCTAGCTGATAGAAACGTCACATCATGTTTCTCCCAAGAATTCAAACGGCATCTGATTTAATCAGATTGAGTTTTGGTCTTTTATATTCCCCGATATCTCATATAGACCAGTCAATTTATGACAAATGAGGGACCAGTCCCTAAACAGGTTTTCTGGTAGTATTGGGTGTACTGAATGACACCCTAAAAGTTTACCAAAATGGGAGTACCGGATTTTGAGGGTAAATGCCAGTTTTTTTAATAGTTCAGTAAATTTATGAAAAAGGGAGGACAACCCCGAAACAATTGAAAGAAAATGTTTTTTGATAGTTACTGGTAAAGTTGTGTGTATATACCGAATGACATCCTAAGCGTTAACCAAAATGGGATTATGGGAATGTCCCAAATTGTGATGATAAATTCTAAGTTTCCTTTAAAGGTAAAAACTTGAAATCGGGTATATTTAACAGAACCCAATGAAACTGACCCGGGCTTTCTTAAGGTTTTGAGAGTCAATCCTTCACATGAAATGGTTTTAATCCGATGCTTCTTTGTGCCATTTTCGGGGTGGAGGATACCCTACACTAAAAGCCTACGGTCGAGAACCCATATATATATATAAATATGTATAACTCCACACTGTTTCGTCATACAATAGCAAATTTGGCTATGTGTAGATATGTCCCTTACACCATTTTCAGGTGTACCCGTATACCTCAGAACCTGCGACGGAAAACCCAAATTTACGAATAAGAATAACTCAGCACTGGTCCCATATACCATTTGCTGAGTACTTCATCACATACTGGCATAGTCGGTATGTATATGTTTTGGGGGTCGACACCTCAACCCCCATAACCCACTGTCGTGAAAAATGAGGAAAGCAAGACAAGCAAATAGATGTGTAAGGAATCATTTACCAATTAGATTTACATATATGTATGGGGGCTGATTGGTATCATGTCGTAATGTCGTCTTTCATAACGCGACAACCCTATATGTGACGAATTGGAGTTAATGGGGAGGGAATGGGGCGGGGAGGCAATGTTTGACATGGTAATTAAAGATAGCTACTGAAGCGGTAGAGTTGTATTCCACGATACTGATTGCGGGGGCGGGGGGACACATATCTTCTGATACTTTTAAATTGTTTAAGCGGCATTAAGTTACTGGATGAGAACAACAAATGACACTATTATATCGAATACAAAGTAGAAATAAATCTTTCAAATAATTTGTATTCCATATAAATGTGTTATCTTCTGATATACTGCTGGTGCGGAATGCAAACATAAGCTTTTCTTTCTAACACGCACGGTAGTCTTAAACATCTATAATCATCCTCGGCTTTCTTCATTTGTATATAAAACACACTTTCATCTGCATCTAGTGCCGAGGGTGGTGGGTTGGGTTGGTTAGGAATAGCCTAAGTCCTTTCTTCGTCTAAATCCGAAACAGATGCTGCATAAGGTGTGTTATTTAAAATGACTGGATGTCATGTATATTTATTTAGAGGAGTGGGTATATATGCCTACTCAAAAAATGTTAGGTCAACAAGTAAAACCCTTGTTACAATACGATTACAAAACAACCGACTCCCGTCTTACATTTAGAAACGATTATTTAATTGTTTTTATAGTAGAGTTTGTCCCAATGAAACATTATGAGGCAGTAACTAGAAGAATATCTAATATGAATATATTAACAACTAGTTGCAGCACTCTGCTGATTTTATATAATAATAAATAATAATAATAATAATAATGGATTTGTATAGCACCTCGTATCCAAAAAGTTTGCTCACTGGCGCTGAGTTAGTCACATTTACGACAGTTTTCCATCATCTGCACTGAATAGGTGTGTTTCTAGCAAGGATTTAAATAAGTACACAATGATTTCGCATCCTTAATATGTGATGGCAGCCTGTTCCACAGTTTAGGAGCAGCAACAGAAAAGCTTCTGTCTCCACATTTCACATAATTTGATTTCGGAATTTCTTACTGAATTTTGTTTGAAGAACGGGTTTCCCTTTGTGATGATTTTATGTGAAGTAGATCCTGGGGGTAGGTAGGAGAGGTGGTGTTTGGCTGTAAACATTTGTAAGTCATTAATAGTATTTTGTAATTAATACGTTATACAGCGTTCATAGTTCATATTCTCGGTTGTCAAATACCATTATTATGGTAATACCCAAAGTATCGATAGTCCTTCCATCAACAATCTGCAATCATATCATCGTTTAACGGAGATATGACGGGCATTGTCAATCCACACAATATCAATGCCTTCAGATGCTTTAGAAAGTTGATTATGGACTTGTCTTGTGAATACATGTCAAAATAATAATTTATATAACATTTGAAGCAAGACAAACGTCCAACAATAGGCAAGGTTAGCGCTTACATAATGTCGCTTTAAGTAAACAACGTAAGGAACATTTTAACATTAATTCATCCCTTTATTGACATTATTTAAATATGAAAGCTTCAACATAAAAAAAAACTCAAATCCTCCATTACCTTAGATATAGTCTTTCTAAATTAAAATATAAACGGGCACCATATCAGAATGTATCAAAATATGAACGGATATGGATATACCAAAATGGAGTGATCCGCGCTTGGCGTTGGTACTTTGATTCACACCACCCTATAGCAAATGGATTGTTTATGCAAATTGTTTCTAACAACATAGTTTCAGACTAATTCCCATTACAGCTCACAACTGTAGCATCATTCAAAGGCGGGACTGAAGATATAAACAAAATCATATATGTAATTTAAAACACCGAAGAGGTAGGTTAAAGATGCATTATGGGAGATTAGATAAAGACCTGCAGTTCTCACTATAATAGTTAAAAAACTAGGCAATGTAAAGGGAATTTGCGTAAAATTTCAGTCACATTGGTACACTCTGAACCGAGATTTTAGCGATTGAATTTTCGGCCTAGCCTCGATTATCATTACTAAAGTAGATAATAAAACATAGCCTCGATTATCCATTTTATGATTAAATCATGAATGAAAGTCGAGCAGTAAATCGGATCCTAATCGAGTAAAGATTGCAGGCTGGCGTTGACACCGGGAGTTGATTATGCTCTGAATAAGTTAATTAATGTCTAATTAATAATTTAGATAACATTTCAGGCCTAAAGAAAGACTTGCAATAGGCAGATTTAGCTCTTGCATAATGTATGTTTAATCATAAAGAGATAAGAAACTGAGCCTTGAGTGCAGGCAAACCATAGATTATTATGTAATAACTGTAATATCATTAAGCAGACCTGGTTTAGCTGGAAAAGAGACGTAGTGAGATCAAATATTTCTCACAGCAGATGACAAAAGTATATTTCAGAAATTCTGCAATTCGTCCAAAAATAAAGAAATAAGTAAGGGATTGATATGTAATTTCTAGTTTCCTTATTATTGTTATTGGCCCGACATCCCTCCTATGATTAAATGATATTCCGATGGTCAGAAAGCTGCCAAAAATGACTGTTGTGAATCGATGTGCTGAGAAAATCGTTTAGATGGAATTATAGCTGAGGAGACGAACGGATAAGAGTCATAATGCTTGCAATAAACCCACATATTGGTATAAACAGATCCCAGATTTTAAGATTAGGGGCCTCGATGCACTTCTTTACCCCTGGAACACTAATAATTTTAAGACCGGCTTCCGTATACGGATGTGCAGTATTCTGGGTATAACATGGAGAAAAGTCGTTCAGGCTCAGAAGAAGAAACGGAATTATTGGAGTTTGTCATTTGAACTGAGCAAATCCATTTTATTAAAGACTCACCATAACTAGAATCCAGTACAAAGGTTATCTTTGAATCAGGTCTGCATCCACCACAAATACCATCACAACGCGCTTCTATAACATAATCAGAAACTCGTGTCACGTGGTCGATCTTGGCCTGCCATCCATATAGGTACATACGTGTAAGATGTCTGTAAATATCATTAAAATAAACCAATTAAAGAAAGCCTAAAAAAGAAGTCCCAATTTTCACATAATGGAAAAATATAAAAGTAAATTAGAAAGGTTTGGACTAAGATGGGAAGTGTTTCATAGCATAATCATTGTGGAAAAGCCGAGGCTGAAGTCGAAAAGTTCCTGTAACCTTGACATTGAGCGAACCTTGCATTTTGCAACTCGGTTATCACAGGCAGGCGTTTCAGTTAGAAAGCTTGAGACTTGGTATTCGCGATGATATTTTCTATCGGGAAATCTGAGAGGTTTAACTAAGTCCTAGACCAATCGATATGGTGACGAGTATTACGCGATGGCCTCGATCATTCGGCACACCTCCAGCAATACATCTAACCTCGGCCACATTGGAACTACTTTCAAGTTTCCGGATTAAAAATGGTGGAGCCTATGAAGACGCATGCGAAGAGTGTTTTATCCCAAGAATCAACCGACAGCCGCATCACAATTGCATGGGTGTAGCCACACATTACTTACCGTCATACAGCCGATGCTAGATAAACCCTTCCGAGGTTTGCAAAATGGTCCTCGATAAGAAGTACGGAGTTACAGTGAGGCCAAAGCTTCTATTAAAGATGTGTTTATCCAAGCACAAAACGATTGTTACACAATAGGGGGGTATTATGGAAACGTTATCGTGTCGCCTTTGACACATTAAATATCCTTATAATGTCAGCTATGACACGGGAAGGTGTGAGATATTAATATAATATCACTCATGTCCAGATTGTCGACCCATTACCAGATGGTTAGGCTGAACTATGTAATGTCCGTTGACTTGTGCAGAAAGTTTATCTGACATTATGCAATAGCCGAGCCGTGTAATCGTTTTGACATCCTTTGTCAGCGTGGTCGCACGCTAACGCTAGCTATCCAATCGGATCACAGTCCACCCTCGTTGTTGTTATTCCTAGTGCGTAACGTCCGCTTCCACCGCAGATGATATCAGACAAGTTGTCTTATTTTCATTTATATTATCTTAGCGCACGCGTAGGGTCTTTCCTGTGGGGAAACCAGAGTACCCGGAGTAAACCAACGAGGTTGATAAGGCATCTCCAAGCCACATACGCTCACATAAGGGGTCGAAACCACAACCACAAGCCAGAGGTGACCGGGCAGACGGAGGTCGAAGCGTGGCACTCTAGACCACAGTGTGTTTGGCGTGGGGCCGACTATTGGGGCTGGACATCTGACCGGTCCAAAGGGGTTAAAAGCAGGTATCTAAACGATAGTCGGGAGTATGTTGAAACCAGATGACGAGTTAAGACCAGGACCAGCGCCAGGGCCCCAAACACAAAATTAAGCTAACTAAGAGTAATTAACTACGGAGTCGTATACATTATATGTTTAGAAGAATAAAAGTATTATATGGAGCTAATTCAGTGTTATCATCAAGAACTAATAGTGCAATACGATTGCTAATGAAAATGTAGTCTCCTGCTAACTCGACGTTGGTAGTCCGTTGAAAGGGTTTCACAGAGCTTCAGATACTCGCTTCCATATGCAACGTCACCGATAATATTGCTACTATGTAACGTCAACAAGAAACTTTAAAGGGACTAGTAGGACGTTAAACCCCATTTCATTTCATTTCATTTAAAGGGATTGTACGTCTAACTCAATATTTTACATGTAATTGTGGGCGTATAAACCGTGTAGAATGGACCAAGCAGGCGTAAACGACTGTCGTTCAATTTTGACTTTGAACGTCAACGATATTGCTATACCACTATGTTTGCTATTATATAACTCATGGCAAAGTTGCGGGTCTGTCATTATTATGTAACGCCAACAATACTCTTTAGTATCTACTATACGTCAACGATAATGCTTTGGACCTGTGCAACGTCAACGATAGCATTTCCGACCTACCATACCTAAAGTCAACGATCGGACACACTGTTTGTAAAGACAACGTTTAGGGGTCCGCCTTTAACGTCAAGGGTAATGTTTAAGGACTACCAAACGTAGCGCCAAGATAATGTTTAAAATCTACCATAATAATATGTAACGTCAACGATAATGTTTCTGGCCTACCATATTTAACGCCAACGATAGTGTTTACGACTACCGAAACGTCAACGATGTTTAGAATCTACCATATCTAACGTCAGCGAGAATGTTTACTACCTACCATCTGCAACAGCAACGACAATGTTTATGATACACCATCTGCAACACCAACGATCTACCACTTTAAGTAATGTTAAGATACACGTATAGGGCCTACAGTAGCATTCAACGATAATATTCCAGAAAGTTCTCATTTAGGAGACAGGTTGGAGGGTGGTTGGGAGCGGGGTATTATTAGACTGTAAATTTAATACCGAGCTGTTTTCAAGAATATCTGGCACCGTTTTAAATGATAGAATTAATCAAACAAACAAAACCCGATATCAAATGACCATTTCTGTTTTGATTAAAACACTTCTCTTACCTGATTACTGAAGGCTAATCCAGTATTTGTGATGTCTATTCTCATTGTTCCTAAACCTGGGCAGGGACTGTACAAACTACAAGCAAACGCATTACCGAATTTAACATGATACCCATCTGCACTAGTGGTCGAAGCGAAGGTAAAATCATCTTCTATAACTTGTAAAGTCTGAAAAATAAATATTAAAACATGTCTGTTTAATAAACAGTTTTATAAACTCTGGTCATCCTCACTAACCCAGGCCCATTTTCTTTTTTTGCTTGGGAAATTCTACTGGACTTCTCTTTCAAATTTGAACATGTCAAAAGGGTAATTCTATCGATTACGTAACATTTCGATCACAGATAGTGGAGTGGTTGTTCGATGGAGTATTTTAAAACGTTGCACGATTGTCTAATGCTACGTCTCCAAAACCATCACGATTCGTTCTACGATTGAAATCGTGGTTTTAATCGTGGAGTAATCGAGGTGATCAATCTTGAGGTCAGTCGCAGCAACGCTGTTAATCTCAGATACGTTTTGGGCGGTTCAAACCTTTACTACGATCAACACTATTAATTGTAAGTCGCGATCATCGCTTCAGATCATAACAAAGTGCGACAAATCGCAACTAATCGTGTTTCTAAACCGTGGTAGACCCATAATATTGCCATTATATTTGAATTCCCAATCTACATGTCTTCAATGACAAAAGCAAATCTGTATTGAAATTAAAAACCCACCGGAGTTGTAATGCGGACTTTGTTGAACCTGGTTCTCCCAGATATTGCAATATAAATATAACGCGAAGAACAGGTCGATCCCGATTGTCTTGTACTTGGAAAATTAGCTTCATTATTCCGATGAAGAGTAATAAAATCAGTTGGAGTAGTGGTGGACATCATATGACAGTAGATTTTAACAGGTTGATAACCTGTCGCTGGGGGGTATACCCAATATTCACCATCAGTTCTGTAGATTGAGTTGCAGATCTTAATATCTTCACAACTTGATACAGCTGAAGAATTAAAATGATAAATCATCATACTATGTTTGCTTATAGTCTCAGCGCGGGGGGGGGGGGGTCCACCAAATGGGCACAAAACCAGACCCAACTTTTCAAGAGTAAAATTTTGCGTAGAATACGATGCCGAGTTGTAATCAGTCCGTCGTTGGGGCGTTTTCCGTTTTCGAGATATTCGGGGTCAAAGGTCAAATGGGTTCATTTTCACTGAAAGTGAATGCGCAGTCATTCTTGTCTTTTTCCCCCTTTTGCATGGCGATTTTTGTTGACTTTTTGGTGTAGAATTGAGGAAAAGGGTTTGAAAATACATTTTCTGCCAGGTTTTGGTGAATATTCATAATTTTGATGCGGAAGGATACAAGAGTTGAGAGGTTGGTTACGTTGAAATGTAGGGCCTGAAATTGCATGTTTACTTGTCTCTACTTCCAGCTTGTGTATCTCAAGTTTTTCATGAAGAACCTCATACGTGCTTTTGGGCAAGTGGTTGCCACATGTTGCTCCATCTGTGGTAGAAAGCGTTCTACCCAACGAAAATTTGGGAAAAAGTTAGAGCCGGTCTAAGATACGAGAATTAACATTGGAGTCAATGGGAAATCTTTAGTGATCTGTGTCCTGTCTGATCTGTCAAGGGAAATAACTCCCGTTTCGTTGTTTCAAGCAAGAATTTTTTGTTCAGTGTTAAAAACATTCCCTATTTAGCACCGACTTGGTAATAAAATTATCGCTTATGATGTATTAATTTGTTTGGGTTTTTTTTGTTTTGTTTTTTTCTTCAAATTAGTATTTCGTTTCGTGTGAAATTCCGAACATTCAATCATTTGAACGAAACCGGATGTTTGGCCTTCTTTCGTTTCGTTTCCCTGCAAATTGTTATTATTCACGTATTTTTGTCAAGTTGGCATTGCAATGTCATTTAAAGCAGAGACTATGACTTATTCATCATAAAATGACACACGATTCCCAAACTGGCATTTCCGTTTTAGAGGAAGATGATATTTTATCTAGTAAAAGTAAAACCCACAATGTCAATAAACCAGAACTTACCAAAAGAGGGGTGATTTTATTAGGAACGTTTGGGGGATTATTTGCAGGAATTTATGCTGTTGCTACTCCATTTGTTTCACCAGCATTGAGAAGAATATGTCTACCATTTGTTCCAGCTACTCCTCTTCAAATTCAAAATGTTTTTACGGCATTAACTAAACGAACTGGTTCATTGATTGATATAGGAAGTGGAGACGGTAGAATTGTAATTTAAATTCATATTATTATAATAATATTGTATTTTTATGATCATAGTATCACTGAGAAATTTTGAAAGATGCATCCCTTCCTGCATTTTTTTAATTTCAAAGTTGTATCATTTGTCAGACAGCATTAGTCTTGTTGAATTCATTCTGATACATATTAAATGCTTCAAATATATTTTTATATCCATAGTATAGCAGGCTACTGATGATCCCAATATCTGTCTACCGGTAATGAGCCAATAAGTCTCTGCCATAGATAATTTTACGGTGCCGGGTCTGTAGACATCTTGATATAGCTACCTATAGTAGTCCCATTTAATTGAAGAAAATTATAAAGTTGTAATAAAAAACATATGCACTTTGATCCACCCAGCATAATATATGTGACATTCACCCTGCACTCTGCTAATTGATTATATTCCATTTTTTTTTCATGTCATTTGCCAGAAGTAGAACAAGCTTTTTCATGGCGAACCATTGCATTTGCCCTCGGCTTTCTGTTCCTTGTCACAAAAACTTGATACACAGAGTAAGAACATGGGTTTCCAGGACATTTAGTAAACCTATTGGAAACAGCAGGCAAATACAATGACATCATCTTTTGAATATACATAAAATTAGAATTATAGATTATAAAATATTCAATTATAACCTTTTGATCTTTCAATTAATTTTTTTTTGCAGGTTTTAGATGCAGCACGACAAGGATTTAAATCAAGTGGAGTTGAATTAAACTACTGGTTAGTTTTGTACTCAAAATATACAGCATGGAAAAATGGTCTTTCTCCACAAGTATCTTTTTTCAGGAAGGATTTATGGAAGGTAATACATGCTTGATTACCTTTTTAGCACTAGATCTTGAGCTCTTTAGACTGCCCAGTCACTTGCTTAGCTTTCGCGCCAACAAGAACTAGTAAACGGTCTTATACATGTAAAACAGAAATCTGGTCACATATATCTGGCAATCTGAGGAACAGCAGTTTTACACTGTTTTGTTCTGTGTCCAGGGACGTACCAGTATTAATTTTCTTCAAGGGACTGGGGTAGTTAACATTTACAAGTACTAAAGGACAATATTACTGTCCACAATTTGGAATTGTTCTTTAGATTGCAGGTCTAAAAATTAAATTACATATTTAGTATAAAGTGTGTGTGAATTTCAATCTTGGTACTGCACCATTAACTTGTGGAAGAGGATGGTTAATTAATTATTCCAAATGGTAATTTAGTGTTTTCTTCCGTATTTAATATTTAAAAGGATCAGAATTTGTGACAAATTGGCTTGAGGTGAAAAATATATATTTCTAACTTTTTCTATTTTCAGACATCTCTGTCTCAGTATGATAATGTTGTTATTTTCGGTGTGGAACAGATGGTAAGTCCAGTCATTCTGCTTGGAATAGATCAGAAGTATATTCTTAATAGAATGAGGAAAAACAGGTGAAATGCCGAACCCAATACAATTAGTTGTAGTTCATATCATTAAACAAACATTATGCAAGAGCTAAATCTGCTTATTGTAGGTTCTTTCTTTAGGCCTGAAATGTTATCTAAATTATTAATTAGACATTAATTAACCTATCCAGACCATAATCAACTCTAGATGGCATCGCTAGCCTGCGATTTTAAGTGGATTGTGAGCCGATTTACTGCATAACTTTCTTTCTCGATTAAACGATTAAATGGATAATCAAGACTATGCTGCTTATCGTACTGATTTTTGTAATGATGACCGAGGCTAGGCAGAAATTTCATTCGCCTAGTTATCGGTTCATAGTGGATCAATTTGAATGAAATTTTCAGCAAATCTAGTTTTTAATTATTATAGTGAGAACTGCCAACTCGTTATTGAATCTCCCATAATGTATCTTTCAATTGCTTGCAGAAAAGGCTTTTTAGCAGTAAGAGAAAACTATGATCTTAAGAAAAGTGACAAGATGAAATCATTTGTGAGGAAATGACTCGGATCATTCAATCTCACAATCCTCACCCCATTTCTCAATATAAATGGTGTTTGTTAAGCATATCCGCAATATCACCCATGGCCCAACAGTTCCTGATTAATGCTAATTTATTACTACTTCAACATTCTTGGGAGGATCACGGTGGCTAAGTGGGTAAGACGCTGGTTCACTAACCTGGAGGTCGGGTGTTCGATCCCTGCATTGGCTGAGAAAGTTCATCTAGATTTTCCGGGGTGGTTCTCCCTTGTCAGTGATGCAGGATGGAGGGCCTGACAAGGACAGCTGTCTAGTCATTCGGATGGCATGCACGTAAAAGATCCCTTGACAGATGGAATTCGATATAAGAGTAGGCTGTAGTGCCTCTGTCCGGGCAAAATTTCCCTCATAGCACACTGTATGGCATATGCCTGTCTTCATTAGCCCAGTCGGAGCAGAACAGTAGAACGTTAATCCCCATTTCATTTCAACACTTCTGTGGCAAGCTATTGATAGTGATTTATATCTGTATTAAGCAATTAATATGAAGGGTCTAGCTAAATGCACAGTAGGTTAAAAGCAGATTATCTGACAAAAAGCTTTAAACCCAAAGAGAAACTAAACCAAGGTACTGTTTATTTTCCAGATGTCAAAGCTAGAGGAGAAATTAGACAAAGAACTGGTAGAAGGAAGACATGTTGTGGCATGTAGATTTCCATTTCCAACATGGCAACCCGCGAAAACAATAGGAAGTGGTGTTGATACAGTTTGGTTGTATATAAAAGGAAGAGAAAAACTTTGTAAAGATAACCATAATAATCCAGTCTGATATTTATTAAAAATGTTTTGAAGTGATGTTATTTTTATTATCAGACTATTTGAGGGTCAGTGTTTTTAAGAAAGAATGGCTCTTTCCTACATGTGATGAAATAGATGACAGTGTGTTAACCCTGTAATGCAATTTGTTACACAAAAATAGTGTTCTTTAATGCAAAGAATTAGAGCACAAATGTGAAGCCAACAGTAATGGTTCTTTCCTACATGTGATGAAATAGATGACAGTGTGTGCCATGAACCCTGTAACACAATTTTTTACACCAAAATAGTGTTCTTTAATGCAAAGAATTAGAGGACAAAAGTGAAACCAACGGTAAGATGTTCATGGTGAGATACATACAGACAACATTAATCGGGAATATCCATGAGTTAGACTATATTATATTTGGATGATATACTTCATGTAATTGATCTTGCAATAGTGAAGTGTTAAAAATTTACCCTTTTACATTGCAGATGACAGCATTAAATTAAAACATAGAATAATAAAAGGATTTTATTTTCAGATACATGTTTGGTTTTCCTTTGTAATTTGTATGTATGTACTTACTCCAAAACTATGTAAGGTAATGTTAAATAGAAATAATATGAAATCAATGGCATACAGAAGAGAATATCTGGCTTTAATTTATATTTTTAAATAAACATTATCAGATTGCCAGTATTAACAGTTCACACTAAAATACACATTATGTGACCAGCTCTGGCTAAATAAAAGACACATGCTGTACATGTATCACCCTTATTTTAGATATGCAACAAAACCAAATCTATTTGGTGAACACTTGCTTTTTTGTTGGCCATTGTCTTGATATCTTTATTTCAGTAATTTACAATTGCTTTTTTTTTCTAAAAATGAATATCATTTTAGATATCTCTGGCATTGTGTAAGATAATGCACATGTCTTTGGAAACAGAAGTTAAATTTATAAATACATGTACCAGTAGCTGTGTTTTAAAATTTTACCAATGTGTCTCATTAGGTCATAGCCAGTCGTATTTAATTAAAATAATAAAATAAAGACCCCATTTATATGATGATAAGCTAATGAATATTTTTATATAATCAAAGATTAAAGGAGCTAAGTCGCTAATATTTGGGACCTAGAAATTGACACAAATGGGTCGCAACGCATACAATAATGTAATATGAAAGCATATAAATTGATTTACATTCAATCGTTTCTGTAATTTCTAATCAGTTAGTTTCGGCGAAATACACCAGTATTCTCAATCGAATTTCAATCTCTAGCGTCTGGTTATTCCAGTCTACATCAATAGTATTTATTGGGCATGCTCTCCAGATAAGAATAAAACGTCACCGTTTGACATGACTTGTGGAATATGCCTAGCCTCGTTTTTCGAGTACCTTCTTACAAATAGTGCTGAAACACATTATGGCACACGATTCGTGTACCAATTGTAAAATGTTTATTTTGTCTTAATTATTGGATATCAGAAGGCCATTTTTTCCCGGTAAGATCACAACATCAATGTTGATTTAAACCGACAAATAAATCGTGTTTTCAATATCGAAGATTTTGGATGATATTGAGTTAGAGACTTAGCTACTTTAATTAAAGTATATTAGTATAGTATATATATTAAATGTAATAGAACTATTGAGATCATTTGACATAAAATATTTCATAGAAATATATACAGACAGCTCAGTCTCAACCAGAATAAATGATGGTAAATTACAAATGCTAAGACCAAAATGTTTTTCAGAAAATCATGCTAATCTAACTGTAATACAATGTGCATCTCAATTCATACTTCTCAATAGGATAAAATATAATAGTGTAAAAGGAGGATTGTAGTTTCCTGAACAGTCAAGAACGACCATCAACGTTGATATATACTCTTCAAAAAAAATGTAGGGGATATTGAAATGCAAATACCTATGCAGGTTGTGATATGATAAATAGTCATGGATACTTGACATGCTTTGAGAGTATGTTCACAGATGAAGAACTTATCGCCCCAACAGAACCACTGAGCTGCACATGCGACACGCAATAGTGCCGTACACGTGGGAGGGGTTCATTGTCAAATTTGACACTTCAAGGAAGGGTTGATAAAAACTGCCGTGTGCTGGTTTATCTATCCATGTTAGCATTCCTATCGGTTCTTGCATAAGATTTACTGTTTAGCGTATCTTTGTTTTAGTGTGTTACGTTTATTTTCATCGGGAGACGTGTTTGTCAACGTCAACCGACAACACTGCAAGAATTGCCTGTGACACTGCAAGGGGAGTGGGTCAGATTGCCCCAAATCGTGATTGGACGGTTGATTAGGAGCATGCCACGACGAATTGCTGAATGTCTGAGGATTGGTGGATCTATTACTCATTATTAAGACAAAAATCAAAAACGTCCATTTTCACTTTTGACGGTGTATGTCTCTCTTTGCGAGTGAAATGGGGCCGTCAGATAAGCCGCCCATATGAACTGTTTATGTTTATGTGTAGGCAATTGGCCTGTTAATAACATACACTGGTTACCTCTAATAAAAACAGCATTTCCGCATTGTTTCTGAATATCCCCTACTTTTTCTGAAGAGTATATATCATCAAAGATCTTTCGCCATTTAAATAATAAAATGAGAGCAATAAAGATTATGTCATAGCTGTCAAAATTTTTAAAAACTTTCATCCATATCAAAATGGCTCTTGGAAGATAATTTTGAAGCTGAACTATGGTATTGTTCGAGTTATCTTTTCTGCTGTAAAGCATCATCTATAACTTTTCTCATATATCTAATAACTTCACGTGGATTCTCGTTCTTCACAATAGCACAACCAGATACAATTACATTTGCTCCAACCTGCAGATAAAAACAAAACAAATATTATACATGTTCAAATCTTGATATAAAAAATTGTAGTCTATATGCATGTTTTAAATTCTTTGAGCGTCTTAAAAGACTCCAGCTAAAACAGTTCTACATTTCAGTTCAAGACATTTACAACCTTGACCAAAGAGTATGTGTCGATCTAGAATCTAAATATCACCTTTGTTCAATATGCCCCCATTATTCTATCAAATCTTAAATTTCAGTACTTCACGTTTAAGGGGAGATTTTGCTCCTCTCGACGCACATCGACTTTTCAAAGGAGTCATTAAAGACTCCCGCAAATTAGCTAAATCTCTCTCCTAAATATTGAGATTAATAAACTACTTTCAGTTTTTGTTTACTTTTAAACTGCATACATTCAAGGTATCAGGAGCTTTTTATTGCTCCCGCACAATTTTATAAACATGAAGGACTGAAATTTCTGATTGCTTTCAACAGGTTACTGAGTTTAGTATAGGAGGATGGTCTTTGGGAATATTTCTCAAAAACTTATAGTCATTTTATGTGCTCCTAGATTTAAATGATTATTTGAAGAATACTGATATTCCATCAACTGTAAGTTCCTATACCCAATAAAGGAATATTAGTATCTGCTAATAACTGCTTTCAATCTCACATTTTGACAAGTTGGATCCGGATTGCAGTTATGACAAGTTTATTCAGTATGTGAGAATATATGTGCAAAGGCTGAAGCACTTGCACCAATCAACTCTAATACTGGTCTCTAATACTGGTAGGTCAGCTGAATAGATTATTATTACAAAACATGCATAATGATAATAAGACATACATCAGCACACTGTTGTATAGTTGAGGGCCCAACTCCACCATCAACTTCAATATCAAGATTTTTATATTTCTCTCTTAAAAACTTAACCTAGGAAAAAAAAGACATGATTAAAAAACCTTATTTAACACTTGATCTTCTGAGATGGGTTAAAATGTCCTATGACATCAAGTCTGTAGCAGTAAGGGACAGGAATATAAAATGTAAATTGAATAGCTAGAATATAGCAGGCCATAAAATCTGATTCTGCTCCAATCTTTGGTATCTATTCTGTAGCATACACAATATTAGAAGGCGCAGGATTATTTTGATATCTTAAAGGAGGTTTTTTTATAATGATCTTTCAGAAAATATCAAATTTTCCATGGTACCGTTGTCGTAAAAATGTAATCAGATTGATTATTGAAGAAAACAAAATAAACAAGCCAACAGTGAGGCTGATGTCCCCCGCCGAAATAGGAAAATAATTAGAGGACACATATAAATTTATCACAAATTATCTTTTACAAAGTATTGAACAATCAAACAGTATATCTTTACTTATAGTCTAACAATCAAAGTAGGAGAGTTATTGTTTTCCAAAGTCTCGACCAATCAAATTGCGTATCGCTCTGCTTACCCTGAGCAGAAAATGCTCATTATCAAACTTAGTCAAGGTATTACTGTAATGAAACTATACACCAAGTTTCATCAATCTCACTTAATTAGAACTAAAGTTATCGTGTCCCAAAGCATCAACCAATCAAATTGCTTATCTCTGCTTATCCTAAGCGGAAAATGCTCATCTTCGAACTCCATCAAGGCATTGACCTAATCAACACATACACCAAGTTTGAACATTCTAGCTCAATTAGGAAGAGAGTTATCGTGCCCCAAAGTATCAACCAATCAAATTGCTTATCTCTGCTTACCCTAAGCGGAAAATGCTCATCTTCGAACTCCATCAAGGCATTGACCTAATAAACACATACACCAAGTTTGAACATTCTAGCTCAATTAAAAGTTATCGTGTCCCAAAGCATCAACCAATCAAATTGCTTATCTCTGCTTACCCTAAGCGGAAAATGCTCATCTTCGAACTCCATCAAGGCATTGACCTAATCAACACATACACCAAGTTTGAACATTCTAGCCCAATTAGGAAGAGAGTTATCGTGTCCCAAAGCATCAACCAATCAAATTGCTTATCTCTGCTTACCCTAAGCGGAAAATGCTCATCTTCGAACTCCATCAAGGCATTGACCCAATAAACACATACACCAAGTTTGAACATTCTAGCTCAATTAGGAAGAGAGTTATTGTGTCCCAAAAAGTGTGACGGACAGACAGACGGACAGACAGACAGACAGACGGACAGACAGACGGACGAACCCATTTTAATAGTCCCCTGCTTTCTTCGAAAGGCGGGGGACAAAAAATAGATTGTTGATAGGTTGAGCAAGTGATCCTTCTCTGCACACTTGTTATTAGACCACTCAAACCACTACCCCCGCCCCACCCCTAATTTGATTAGGACTAAAGACAGAAACTACTGTACAACTAGGATATGATTGGTCTAAAATTCATAATAAACCAAGTTGGTGTGTCATTGAAATAATAATACCGGGTAATAGTAATCCGGCCGGTAATGAAGTATTAATTATAACCCTTTGTTGGATGATGACTCATAAATTTAAGTACATGTAGCAATTTCACTGCTTTGTTCATTGCCTGTATAGCACGTTATTTCCTTCTTTAATGTACTTATCAGATTCTATGCACTGGTATATGTGGATGTTCATAAGCTTAAATACCAATAGAATTTTTGCAGGTTTTTTTTTTTTTTACCTTTGGTAGACATTCGGCTATAAATGACTGTCCTCCAAATCCCGGATTAACTGTCATGACTTGAATAAGATCAACTTGATCAACATATGGTAGAACAACTTCTACTGGTGTAGGTGGATTTATACCTAAACCAACCTAAAATAAATTAAAAGTAATACAACAAAAAGGGTTTAGAATGTGATGCACCCACAAAACAAATTAACTCTTGTGCGGATACAAGGGGTATTTCGGGACCCAACAACCATATCCTTAACATTTGTGGGGAATTGGTTCATAATTGTCTAGAGAGAACTTTATACATTGTCAGCTACTTAACTTTGGGTATAATGCTGCAAATAGAATAGAGGTGAGACAGTGGCAACATTCACCATTTGACAAGAAACTAACAGTATTACATTATCGAAAACAAGGGGTCCCCCTCCCATCTCTTTTAAACATTTAACTGGTTACAAGTTCCTAATCTGTTCTGTGCTCAGTGCAAGCTTTGTATTTGGAATCATTCTCACTGATGATATTGTGTTGATCATTCTAGTAATCTAGATCTGAAAACAAATCTAGGTACCCTACCAACCCCGTCAAAAGACGATTCTACATTGGAAATGACAATTAAGCTATTTGCAGATTTTGATGGTTTCAAAGATAGCTTATATTTCATATCTTCACTGTTAATACCTCAAATATATTTTTTTTACTCTGATTGATTATTCTTCAGTTTTATATGAAGCTCTAGTTTGATTGTATCTGAATAAAATTATAAATATAAAAACCTATTTATGTCTGAGGTCTTTGGGTAACGTGTCTGCACAAGGGTTAAACTACTGGTACATGTAGTTCAATTCTATGTCGGGAAATAAATGTTATTATGGTTTACATGGAGCTACCTCCATTGTTAAGATTTTATTTAAAGGGATTCCAGTGTGCTATAAACTAACTGTATCAATGTATCAAGTACATACTTCAAGATACTAAAAATAAATTATCAAAAGAACACCTGCTTAAATGTTGATTAAAATATATTCAGTTCTACTGGAAGTTCTACTGTTATAAGCCTTTAATATATAATTTATTTGTATATTCCTTACTTGTGTTGATATATTTTTTGTTTCTTTTGCCTTTCGAAGTTTGGAGTGTTTTTGTTTTATATTTTAGATGGACATGATATCAAAATACTATACCTTCATGCCAGCTTCTTTTATTTTTCTAATACACAATTCAGGATCTTTTGTAGCTTCGAAATGAAACAAATACATATCACCACCAGCATCAGCTACTGGTTCAACCCACTAAAATTAATAAAATAAGAACAGGCTTGTGTAAATTTTTAGTAGGGCTTTAATTAAACCCCATTTCATTCCTTTTCATGTGAAATATTAGGTATTTGCGAAAGAAAATTTCCATAATATTTTCCAAATGTGAGATACACCCATAACTAATGTACATGTATGTTCTACAGACAAGCACTGTAATAATTTATTAGTCTTGAACTATCATGACCTAAAAATATGTCTAGTTAAAAAACAAAAATTTAATGTAAGCTCTAAAAATGGATCAATCTATCAACAATTTAATAAGTTAAACTCATATAAAAAAAAATTCATATCCTGCTGTGTATTAATATTATTTGAAAAAGCATTATAAAATAAGAAGTGTGATAATATACACATTCTATTTTTTTTTCTAAATGAAATAATGACTAAGCATATCTATATACAGCTATATCATCCCGTGGTAAAACAAAAAAATCAAAAAAAATCCATTAATTCAAAACTTGCTAAATTCAAAAGTTAACACCATAATTCAATGAAAATTCGTAATATAACATTAGTTCAATATATTTTTTATCATATCTAATAAATATTGAAACCATCTTTGGAACTTTTAGTAGTCCTAGAACTAGAGAAGTAGGCCTTGACACAATGTTACTTGCATGAATTGAGAGTTTTGCCTATTATTAAAGGTCGGCCTGTATGTATAGGTATCCCTTGGTCAACTGTTTATGGTAGCACTAAATTATTATGAAAATACGGAATGTCAATCCATCTCCAAGGTTATAATTCACAAAACTAACGAAACAAAAAGAGCAAACCTTTTCTGGATCTTGAACCATCATGTGCATTTCAAAGAAAACTCCAGGCAGCTTCGGCCGCAGGCATTTTACAACAGGATGGCCGAATGTAAGGTTCGGAACGAACTGGCCATCCATTACATCAAGATGTAAATAATCGGACCCACATTCCATAAACCGCTGACATTCACTGGCAAGTGAAGATAAGTCCGCATTTAACATTGAAGGACCGATTCTGCAAGAACTGACATTGGAGGTCGCCATCTTGGATAATATGTTACAACAACAAATTTCGTCTGCTCAAATTAAATGGAACGAAATATAATATGATCAGATTGTGTGTGATGATAGTGTGGAGTGAAGGGGTACTTTCTTGTTTTTTAAGTGCAGCGGAATAATTTAATCCCATTAAACACGAAACTGTTGTATATTTGCGCGGATTTGCATTTTGACTTGCTGTCATTTGACCAAAGCGCACTATATAAAAGTGGTGGACTATTGATTACCATAGCAAATACATATTATTTTAATGGAATTTTAATATTTTTATTTATCTTTTATTTTTTTTTTTTCATTCATTTAAAAACAAATATTTTAAAAAAAATTTTAGTTCTTTTTTAATTGTATTTCATTTCCCTTGTATATGTAACAAAAGTCAAAGCACTCCTTTAATTTCTGCGGTATGTGGTCAAAAGGAGCGCATTATCCTTTACCAACTTGAATTTGATGTAATATAGTAACTAGACTCGTAACAGTTGTAGTACCCATGGACAACTGCTTATGGGCAGTGTGAAGTTAGCTCGATTTTCGTTTTTCAATATTATTGGTGAATATCGAAAAACAACTTGCTCGTTTTTCGATATTGGCGAATGTCGAAAAACGAGCTACTCGTTTTTCAGTATTCAAACTTGAATCTCAAAAAAGCAGATTTGATGGATGCATATCTCAGAATACCTCCAAAACACATTTGATTAAATTAGTTTTCTAAAACGAAATAAAGATATCATAAATGGGGATGCCTGAGCAGTGGATTCACATAAAAAATGCTCTTTCTCCTTGGTTTGTGATATTGGCGAATGTTGGAAAACAAGCTACTCGTTCTTCGATATTCAAACTTGAATCTCGAAAAAACAGATTTGATTGATGTATATCTACAGAATGCGAAACACATTTGATTAAATCAGTTTTCTATAACGAACTAAAGCTGTCATAAATGAGGATGCCTGAGCAGTAGATTCTCATAAAAGCTGCTCGAGCTACTCATTTTTCGATATTCAGACTTGAATCTCGAAAAAAACCCAGATATAATGGATGTAATGGAAAACAAGCTACTCGTTCTTCGATATTCAAACTTGAATCTCGAAAAAACAGATTTGATTGATGTATATCTACAGAATGCGAAACACATTTGATTAAATCAGTTTTCTATAACGAACTAAAGCTGTCATAAATGAGGATGCCTGAGCAGTAGATTCGCATAAGAGCTGCTCGAGCTACTCATTTTTCGATATTCAGACTTGAATCTCGAAAAAAACCCAGATATAATGGATGTATATCTACAGAATGTCTCCAAAGTACATTTGATTAAATAAGTTTCATAAAAAGAACTAAAGATATCATAAATGAGGATGCCTGAGCAGTGGATTCACATACAAGATACTCTTTCTCCTTGTTTTTTTTTATATTGGCGAACTTGAATCCCCAAAAAAGCAGAATTAATGGATGTATGTCTACAGACTGTCTCCAAAACACATTTAATTAAATAAGTATTCTAAAACGAACTAAAGATATCATAAATGAGGATGCCTCAGCAGTGGGTTCACATTAAAAAAAAAGCTCGTTCTCCTTGTTTGTTGATATTGGCGAATGCCTGAGCAGTGGATTCACATAAAAAATGCTCTTTCTCCTTGGTTTTTGATATTGGCGAATGTCGGAAAACAAACTACTCGTTTTTCGATTTTCAAAATTGAATCTCAAGCTAACTTCACACTGCCCTGTTTATGATACTAATTTGTCTAATTGGGGGCATAAAATTACATTATGTTAAAAATAAACGAAATTGCGTTAATGAAAGCGTGGTAACATTATAATCCCGTGGCTTAGTCTTTGTACAATGAATATTGCTGTTTCCAATAACGAGTGCATACTATCCTAAAACAATAATTAAATCCGAACAGTCAGATTTTTGGGACAAACGGGCAAAAATAATATAATATAGGTTTGACCGACGTGGATATTGTTGGAACTCTCTAACGTTGGACTTCACGTTATTCGGCGATTAAATCGTATATATCAGGAACACAAGGATTTTTTATATACATTTTTATACCAAGCAGGATTCCAAGTTTACAAGCATATGTCTATATAAAACTCAAAGATAACATCTTTCAGTCTCTTAACCATTATACTAAGCTCGCAGAACGAGCTAGCTGATAGAAACGTCACATCATGTTTCTCCCAAGAATTCAAACGGCATCTGATTTAATCAGATTGAGTTTTGGTCTTTTATATTCCCCGATATCTCATATAGACCAGTCAATTTATGACAAATGAGGGACCAGTCCCTAAACAGGTTTTCTGGTAGTATTGGGTGTACTGAATGACACCCTAAAAGTTTACCAAAATGGGAGTACCGGATTTTGAGGGTAAATGCCAGTTATTTTAATAGTTCAGTAAATTTATGAAAAAGGGAGGACAACCCCGAAACAATTGAAAGAAAATGTTTTTTGATAGTTACTGGTAAAGTTGTGTGTATATACCGAATGACATCCTAAGCGTTAACCAAAATGGGATTATGGGAATGTCCCAAATTGTGATGATAAATTCTAAGTTTCCTTTAAAGGTAAAAACTTGAAATCGGGTATATTTAACAGAACCCAATGAAACTGACCCGGGCTTTCTTAAGGTTTTGAGAGTCAATCCTTCACATGAAATGGTTTTAATCCGATGCTTCTTTGTGCCATTTTCGGGGTGGAGGATATCCTACACTAAAAGCCTACGGTCGAGAACCCATATATATATAGGTATAACTCCACACTGTTTCGTCATACAATAGCAAATTTGGCTATGTGTAGATATGTCCCTTACACCATTTTCAGGTGTACCCCTATACCTCAGAACCTACGACGGAAAACCCAAATTTACGAATAAGAATAACTCAGCACTGGTCCCCTATACTATTTGCTGAGTACTTCATCACATACTGGCATAGTCGGTATGTATATGTTTTGGGGGTCGACACCTCAACCCCCATAACCCACTGTCGTGAAAAATGAGGAAAGCAAGACAAGCAAATAGATGTGTAAGGAATCATTTACCAATTAGATTTACATATATGTATGGTGGCTGATTGGTATCATGTCGTAATGTCGTGATGTCGCCTTTCATAACGCGACAACCCTATATGTGACGAATTGGAGTTAATGGGAAGGGAATGGGGCGGGGAGGCAATGTTTGACATGGTAATTAAAGATAGCTACTGAAGCGGTAGAGTTGTATTCCACGATACTGATTGCGGGGGCGGGGGGACACATATCTTCTGATACTTTTAAATTGTTTGAGCGGCATTAAGTTACTGGATGAGAACAACAAATGACACTATTATATCGAATACAAAGTAGAAATAAATCTTTCAAATAATTTGTATTCCATATAATTTTGTTATCTTCTGATATACTGCTGGTGCGGAATGCAAACATAAGCTTTTCTTTCTAACACGCACGGTAGTCTTAAACATCTATAATCATCCTCGGCTTTCTTCATTTGTATATAAAACACACTTTCATCTGCATCTAGTGCCGAGGGTGGTGGGTTGGGTTGGTTAGGAATAGCCTAAGTCCTTTCTTAGTCTAAATCCGAAACAGATGCTGCATAAGGTGTGTTATTTAAAATGACTGGATGTCATGTATATTTATTTAGAGGAGTGGGTATATATGCCTACTCAAAAAATGTTAGGTCAACAAGTAAAACCCTTGTTACAATACGATTAGAAAACAACCGACTCCCGTCTTACATTTAGAAACGATTATTTAATTGTATTTATAGTAGAGTTTGTCCCAATGAAACATTATGAGGCAGTAACTAGAAGAATATCTAACATGAATATATTAACAACTAGTTGCAGCACTCTGCTGATTTTATATAATAATAAATAATAATAATAATAATAATGGATTTGTATAGCACCTCGTATCCAAAAAGTTTGCTAACTGGCGCTGAGTTAGTCTGTCACATTTACGACAGTTTTCCATCATCTGCACTGAATAGGTGTGTTTCTAGCAAGGATTTAAATGTACACAATGATTTCGCATCCTTAATATGTGATGGCAGCCTGTTCCACAGTTTAGAAGCAGCAACAGAAAAGCTTCTGTCTCCACATTTCACATAATTTGATTTCGGAATTTCTTACTGAATTTTGTTTGAAGAACGGGTTTCCCTTTGTGATGATTTTATGTGAAGTAGATCCTGGGGGTAGGTAGGAGAGGTGGTGTTTGGCTGTAAACATTTGTAAGTCATTAATAGTATTTTGTAATTAATACGTTATATAGCGTTCATAGTTCATATTCTCGGTTGTCAAATACCATTATTATGGTAATACCCAAAGTATCGATAGTCCTTCCATCAACAATCTGCAATCATATCATCGTTTAACGGAGATATGACGGGCATTGTCAATCCACACAATATCAATGCCTTCAGATGCTTTAGAAAGTTGATTATGGACTTGTCTTGTGAATACATGTCAAAATAATAATTTATATAACATTTGAAGCAAGACAAACGTCCAACAATAGGCAAGGTTAGCGCTTACATAATGTCGCTTTAAGTAAACAACGTAAGGAACATTTTAACATTAATTCATCCCTTTATTGACATTATTTAAATATGAAAGCTTCAACATAAAAAAAAACCCAAATCCTCCATTACCTTAGATACAGTCTTTCTAAATTAAAATATAAACGGGCACCATATCAGAATATATCAAAATATGAACGGATATGGATATACCAAAATGAAGTGATCCGCGCTTGGCGTTGGTACTTTGATTCACACCACCCTATAGCAAATGTATTGTTTATGCAAATTGTTTCTAACAACATAGTTTCAGACTAATTCCCATTACAGCTCACAACTGTAGCATCATTCAATGGCGGGACTGAAGATATAAACAAAATCATATATGTAATTTAAAACACCGAAGAGGTAGGTTAAAGATGCATTATGGGAGATTAGATAAAGACCTGCAGTTCTCACTATAATAGTTAAAAAAACTAGGCAATGTAAAGGGAATTTGCGTAAAATTTCAGTCACATTGGTACACTCTGAACCGAGATTTTAGCGATTGAATTTTCAGCCTAGCCTCGATTATCATTACTAAAGTAGATAGTAAAACATAGCCTCGATTATCCATTTTATGATTAAATCATGAATGAAAGTCGAGCAGCAAATCGGATCCTAATCGAGTAAAGATTGCAGGCTGGCGTTGACACCGGGAGTTGATTATGCTCTGAATAAGTTAATTAATGTCTAATTAATAATTTAGATAACATTTCAGGCCTAAAGAAAGACTTGCAATAGGCAGATTTAGCTCTTGCATAATGTATGTTTAATCATAAAGAGATAAGAAACTGAGCCTTGAGTGCAGGCAAACCATAGATTATTATGTAATAACTGTAATATCATTAAGCAGACCTGGTTTAGCTGGAAAAGAGACGTAGTGAGATCAAATATTTCTCACAGCAGATGACAAAAGTATATTTCAGAAATTCTGCAATTCGTCCAAAAATAAAGAAATAAGTAAGGGATTGATATGTAATTTCTAGTTTCCTTATTATTGTTATTGGCCCGACATCCCTCCTATGATTAAATGATATTCCGATGGTCAGAAAGCTGCCAAAAATGACTGTTGTGAATCGATGTGCTGAGAAAATCGTTTAGATGGAATTATAGCAGAGGAGACGAACGGATAAGAGTCATAATGCTTGCAATAAACCCACATATTGGTATAAACAGATCCCAGATTTTAAGATTAGGGGCCTCGATGCATTTCTTTACCCCTGGAACACTAATAATTTTAAGACCGGCTTCCGTATACGGATGTGCAGTATTCTGGGTATAACATGGAGAAAAGTCGTTTAGGCTCAGAAGAAGAAACGGAATTATTGGAGTTTGTCATTTGAACTGAGCAAATCCATTTTATTAAAGACTCACCATAACTAGAATCCAGTACAAAGGTTATCTTTGAATCAGGTCTGCATCCACCACAAATACCATCACAACGCGCTTCTATAACATAATCAGAAACTCGTGTGACGTGGTCGATCTTGGCCTGCCATCCAATAGGTACATACGTGTAAGATGTCTGTAAATATCATTAAAATAAACCAATTAAAGAAAGCCTAAAAAAGAAGTCCCAATTTTCACATAATGGAAAAATATAAAAGTAAATTAGAAAGGTTTGGACTAAGATGGGAAGTGTTTCATAGCATAATCATTGTGGAAAAGCCGAGGCTGAAGTCGAAAAGTTCCTGTAACCTTGACATTGAGCGAACCTTGCATTTTGCAACTCGGTTATCACAGGCAGGCATTTCAGTTAGAAAGCTTGAGACTTGGTATTCGCGATGATATTTTCTATCGGGAAATCTGAGAGGTTTAACTAAGTCCTACACCAATCGATATGGTGACGAGTATTAAGCGATGGCCTCGATCATTCGGCACACCTCCAGCAATTACATCTAACCTCGGCCACATTGGAACTTCTTTCAAGTTTCCGGATTAAAAATGGTGGAGCCTATGAAGACGCATATGCGAAGAGTGTTTTATCCCAAGAATCTGTATATTGTTTGCTATATACTTCTGATAGCAAACGCTTACATTGATTGATTGACTAAATTTAAAGATAAGAAGGGTACCCGGGTCTGCCGAACGACCCCATTTTGAGAACTTCTTTCCAAAGGCGGCAAATCTTCCTAATAGTAAATCAACCGACAGCCGCATCACAATTGCATGGGTGTAGCCACACATTACTTACCGTCATACAGCCAATGCTAGATAAACCCTTCCGAGGTTTGCAAAATGGTCCTCGATAAGAAGTACGGAGTTACAGTGAGGCCAAAGCTTCTATTAAAGATGTGTTTATCCAAGCACAAAACGATTGTTACACAATAGGGGGGTATTATGGAAACGTTATCGTGTCGCCTTTGACACATTAAATATCCTTATAATGTCAGCTATGACACGGGAAGGTGTGAGGTATTAATATAATATCACTCATGTCCAGATTGTCGACCCATTACCAGATGGTTAGGCTGAACTATGTAATGTCCGTTGACTTGTGCAGAAAGTTTATCTGACATTATGCAATAGCCGAGCCGTGTAATCGTTTTGACATCCTTTGTCAGCGTGGTCGCACGCTAACGCTAGCTATCCAATCGGATCACAGTCCACCCTCGTTGTTGTTGTTCCTAGTGCGTAACGTCCGCTTCCACCGAAGATGATATCAGACAAGTTGTCTTATTTTCATTTATATTATCTTAGCGCACGCGTAGGGTCTTTCCTGTGGGGAAACCAGAGTAGCCGGAGTAAACCTACGAGGTTGATAAGGCATCTCCAAGCCACATACGCTCACATAAGGGGTCGAAACCACAACCACAAGCCAGAGGTGACCGGGCAGACGGAGGTCGAAGCGTGGTACTCTAGACCACAGTGTGTTTGGCGTGGGGCCGACTATTGGGGCTGGACATCTGACCGGTCCAAAGGGGTTAAAAGCAGGTACCTAAACGATAGTCGGGAGTATGTTGAAACTAGATGCCGAGTTAAGACCAGGACCAGCGCCAGGGCCCCAAACACAAAATTAAGCTAACTAAGAGTAATTAACTACGGAGTCGTATACATTATATGTTTAGAAGAATAAAAGTATTATATGGAGCTAATTCAGTGTTATCATCAAGAACTAATAGTGCAATACGATTGCTAATGAAAATGTAGTCTCCTGCTAACTCGACGTTGGTAGTCCGTTGAAAGGGTTTCACAGAGCTTCAGATAGTCGCTTCCATATGCAACGTCACCGATAATATTGCTACTATGTAACGTCAACAAGAAACTTTAAAGGGACTAGTAGGACGTTAAACCCCATTTCATTTCATTTCATTTAAAGGGATTGGACGTCTAACTCAATATTTTACATGTAAATGTGGGCGTATAAACCGTGTAGAATGGACCAAGCAGGCGTAAACGACTGTCGTTCAATTTTGACTTTGCACGTCAACGATATTGCTATACCACTATGTTTGCTATTATATAACTCATGGCAAAGTTGCGGGTCTGTCATTATTATGTAACGCCAACAATACTCTTCAGTATCTACTATACGTCAACGATAATGCTTTGGACCTGTGCAACGTCAACGATAGCATTTCCGACCTACCATACCTAAAGTCAACGATCGGACACACTGTTTGTAAAGACAACGTTTAGGGGTCCGCCTTTAACGTCAAGGGTAATGTTTAAGGACTACCAAACGTAGCGCCAAGATAATGTTTAAAATCTACCATAATAATATGTAACGTCAACGATAATATATTTAACGCCAATGATAGTGTTTACGACTACCGAAACGTCAACGATGTTTAGAATCTACCATATCTAACGTCAGCGAGAATGTTTACTACCTACCATCTGCAACAGCAACGACAATGTTTATGATACACCATCTGCAACACCAACGATCTACCAATTTAAGTAATGTTAAGATACACGTATAGGGCCTACAGTAGCATTCAACGATAATATTCCAGAAAGTTCTCATTTAGGAGACAGGTTGGAGGGTGGTTGGGAGCGGGGTATTATTAGACTGTAAATTTAATACCGAGCTGTTTTCAAGAATAACTGGCACCGTTTTAAATGATAGAATTAATCAAACAAACAAAACCCGATATCAAATGACCATTTCTGTTTTGATTAAAACACTTCTCTTACCTGATTACTGAAGGCTAATCCAGTATTTGTGATGTCTATTCTCATTGTTCCTAAACCTGGGCAGGGACTGTACAAACTACAGGCAAACGCATTACCGAATTTAACATGATACCCATCTGCACTAGTGGTCGAAGCGAAGGTAAAATCATCTTCTATAACTTGTAAAGTCTGAAAAATAAATATTAAAACATGTCTGTTTAATAAACAGTTTTATAAACTCTGGTCATCCTCACTAACCCAGGCCCATTTTCTTTTTTTGCTTGGGAAATTCTACAGGACTTCTCTTTCAAATTTGAACAAAAGGGTAATCCTATCGATTACGTAACATTTCGATCACAGATAGTGGAGTGGTTGTTCGATGGAGTCGTTGCATGATTGTCTAATGCTACGTCTCCAAAACCATCACGATTCGTTCTACGATTGAAATCGTGGTTTTAATCGTGGAGTAATCGAGGTGATCAATCTTGAGGTCAGTCGCAGCAACGCTGTTAATCTCAGATACGTTTTGGGCGGTTCAAACCTTTACTACGATCAACACTATTAATTGTAAGTCGCGATCATCGCTTCAGATCATAACAAAGTGCGACAAATCGCAACTAATCGTGTTTCTAAACCGTGGTAGACCCATAATATTGCCATTATATTTGAATTCCCAATCTACATGTCTTCAATGACAAAAGCAAATCTGTATTGAAATTAAAAACCCACCGGAGTTGTAATGCGGACTTTGTTGAACCTGGTTCTCCCAGATATTGCAATATAAATATAACGCGAAGAACAGGTCGATCCCGATTGTCTTGTACTTGGAAAATTAGCTTCATTATTCCGATGAAGAGTAATAAAATCAGTTGGAGTAGTGGTGGACATCATATGACAGTAGATTTTAACAGGTTGATAACCTGTCGCTGGGGGGTATACCCAATATTCACCATCAGTTCTGTAGATTGAGTTGCAGATCTTAATATCTTCACAACTTGATACAGCTGAAGAATTAAAATGATAAATCATCATACTATGTTTGCTTATAGTCTCAGCGCGGGGGGGGGGGGGGAGTCCATCAAATGGGCACAAAACCAGACCCAACTTTTCAAGAGTAAAATTTTGCGTAGAATACGATGCCGAGTTGTAATCAGTCCGTCGTTGGGGCGTTTTCCGTTTTCGAGATATTCGGGGTCAAAGGTCAAATGGGTTCATTTTCACTGAAAGTGAATGCGCAGTCATTCTTGTATCATGAAAATAAGCTGAAAATGATCGAAATTAATCACACTTTCAATAAAAATGTAAACTTGCTAAATTCACCTTTGTTCTTTGTGACCCCAGAGGTCAAAAGGTCACATTTTCCGTTTTAGCACTAGGAAAATTAAAGTAATAAATGTCAGCGTAAAATATAAAAAACTAAAGCGAAACCTGTTCTTTATTTCGATCATTTTCAGCTTCTTTTCATAATACAAGAATGACTGCGCATTCACTTTCAGTGAAAATGAAATCATTTGACCTTTGACCCCGAATATCTCGAAAAGGCCCCAACGGCGGACTGATTACCACTCGGCATCGTATTCTACGAAAAATTTTACTCTAGAAAATTTGGGTCTGGTTTTGTGCCCATTTAATGGACACCCCCACCCCCGCGCGCTGAGCCTCCGATCTATAAATATAACATTTTCTAATTTTAGTTATTGCATCATTTTACGTTTTCCTTTTGCAAAATTCAGCATTTTCTGATTTTAAGCGTTACATTATTTTTGATTGCTGCTTTTAATGCGGTAAAGATATTCCCGCTAACATGAAGAAGTCCGGGATGGGAACAAAATAAGAATTACCTTTCAAGGATCACGGGGTCCATAAAGCCTCTTTAAAGGATGACATGATAACACATCTTTCATAGCAATTGGGAACCGAATGATGTTATTGAGTAAACTGGCGTGATTTCGATTCCCCGGTTGTTCGTGACAAGGAGTAGGATATCCTTTCCAATCTCGTGGGTTTTCGCTGGGTCCTCCGGTTTCCTCCCACTGCTAAAGACCCCTACGCGCACGCGAATTATTGAAATGATATTGAACCATAGGTTAGTCCCAAACATGACCTAGTTTGTGTCGAGTGGAATTTAAACCCCATTTCTCTCTCTCCCTGTAACTGCTTTGTATTGTTTTGATTTCCATATTTCTATTAAGAGTTTGGACGTTTTGGATAGGGAAATTCAATGCCTGGTTGGTTAGCAAAAGAATTAAATACTAAAGGATTCCGCTATTCCACAACCAGCGTATGCAGTCGAAAAATAGTCACTGAATGCACTAGTCATTGGAATTTTGTTTGTGACATTTATAGTTTTGAATATACAAATGAACGTATAAAAGTCGGCGGCCGTCTTGAAATACAATGCTCTCTCTCTTTCTCTCTCTCTCTCTCTCTCTCTCTCCAACCCAGGAATGACTGAATATACTTACGTCGACATTGAGATGGGGGTGACCAGGTACTATTTGACTGACACACGGAAGAAGGAGTATTAGATATATTGTATCCAATGTTACAAGTATATGTTATTACATCCTCTTCTATGAACTGACTCCTTGCAATAAGTGGGTACCCCATAGTAGCATGGTCAACGATGTACGGATCGACATAGCATATGGCTCTCGCTCGACATTCGGAAGGAATACTCCACGTGCCATTAGACTGACAGATTGAAAATCTCGGTGGGTCTGCTATATAATATTCAGAACAGTTATACATGTAGTTGATTATCTCCCCTTCTATAGAAAAGATTCTACCGGATATATTAAACGATATATAATCAATCATAGTAGCATTATCAACAGCATACGGTTCTTCTTCACACCCTAAAAAATAAACGGGTACTCTAAAGTTTATATAAATTGTAATTATAAAATGTAAATGAAATATGAATGGATTATTTCGACATTTTTCAATATGTTGTTTCCTTCCAATTAAGCGTTTATTTCAAAATTCACGAAGAAAGCTATGGATGATTCCAAATTGGATAGCTTCGTAATTGTGACGATTTACTTTAGAAAAAATTGGCGTTGTAAACCCAGCACGAAAATGTACGGAGCCCCTTAAGCGCAATTTTCGATACTTTTTTAATTATTTCGTTTAAACGAATTAATTATTTCGTTTGTTTAAACGAAATAATTCATATAAATAGACGTGTGTATGTACCAATTCCTACGGAGCCCCTTAAGCGCAATTTTCGATACTTTTTTTTAATTATTTCGTTTAAACGAAATAATTAATTCGTTTAAACGAAATAATATCATGTATTTCGTTTAAACGAATTAATTATTCGTTTAAACGAAATAATTAATTCGTTTAAACGTCATAATTCATATAAATAGACGTGTGTATGTACCAATTCCAACTAGTTGTATAGTCACAATAGCTGACCGTAGACCCATTCAACAATTACGTAACGCTATTTTTGCCATTTTTGACACCCACCTACCCCTGTAAAACATCTCGACCACTTGCCATACTAGGGATCTTTACCATGAGCGACAAGCATCCTGAACACTCTGTCACACCAAGACCTCCACCATGAGCAGCAAGCGTCCTAACCACTCAGTCATATGTGGTTTCTACCACCACTCGGACACCCCCCCCCCCCACTCGGCCACATAGGGACTTACACTACTTTGCCACACCGGACCCTCATTTCACTCGTCCACACCGAGCCCCCATCATGAGAAAAAAGCGTCCTAACCAGAACATACCACAACGTTTCAATGCAATTCATAAAGACACAGGCGGTCACGTTTAAACGAAATAATTCATATAAATCGACGTGTGTATGTACCAATTCCAACTAGTTGTATAGTCACAATAGCTGACCGTAGACCCATTCAACAATTACGTAACGCTATTTTTGCTATTTTTGACACTCACCCACCCCTGTAAAACATCTCGACCACTTGGCCATACTAGGGATCTTTACCATGAGCGACAAGCATCCTAAAAACTCTGTCACACCAAGGCCTCCACCATGAGCAGCAAGCAAAGAATCGAAAAAGAAAGAAATAATTAATATAAATAGACTTGTATACACCAATTCCAACTAGTTGTATAGTCACAATGGCTGGACGTAGACTACATTACATGTAATAAAAGCCAACCTTTTGACACTCACCCACCCCATGTAAGGCATGCATGTATGTCGCCACTGGAATGACCCCCAAACCACTCCCCCTCCCGTTACATAACAGTAGAGTACCTCCCTCTGTCACCAAGTACCTGCCGTCTGCTGATAGTGACTGGCGGCCAATTTGGTTGATATTCTTTCGAGTTTTGGGAGGTCCATGTAAACTGCTAAACGATGACAAAACGTTGCCATTTTTGACACCCACCGCCTGTGCCGTTATGAATTGCATTGAAACGTTGTGGTATGTTGTGGTTAGGACGCTTGTTTCTCATGATGGGGGCTCGGTGTGGAAGAGTGAAATGAGGGTCCGGTGTGGCAAAGTAGAGTAGGGGGGTGTCCGAGTGGTGGTAGAAACCCGATATGACTGAGTCCCCTTTGTCACCAAATACCATTCCGTCTGCTGATAGTGACTGGCGGCCATTTGGCTGATATCCTTTCGAGTTTTTGGAGGTCCATGTAAACTGCTAAACGATGACAAAACGTTGCAATTTTTGACACCTACCACCCACCGCCTGTGTCGTTATGAATTGCATTGAAACGTTGTGGTATGTTCTGGTTATGACGCCTGTCCCTCATGATGGGGGCTCGGTGTGGACGATGGAATGAGAGTCCGGTGTGGCCGAGTAGAGTAAGTCCCTGTGTGGCCGAGTGGGGGGGGGGGGGTCCGAGTGGGGGTAGGAACCCGATATTACCGAGTGGTTAGGACGCTTGCTGCTCATGGTGTGACAGAGTTTTTAGGATTCTTGTCGCTCATGATGAAGATCCCTAGTATGGCCGAGTGGTCGAGATGTTTTACAGGGGTGGGTGGGTGGCAAAAATGGCAAAAAAAGCGTTACGTAATTGTTGAATGGTCTACGGTCAGCTATTGTAACTATACAACTAGTTGGAATTGGTACATACACACGTCTATTTATATGAATTATTTCGTTTAAACGAATTAATTATTTCGTTTAAACGAATTAATTATTTCGTTTAAACGAATTAATTATTTCGTTTAAACGAATTAATTATTTCGTTTAAACGAATTAATTATTTCGTTTAAACGAATTAATAAACGAAATAATTAATTCGTTTAAACGAAATAATTAATTCGTTTAAACGAAATAATAATTCGTTTAAACGAAATAATTAAAAAAAAGTATCGAAAATTGCGCTTAAGGGGCTCCGTAAAAATGAGCCCATCCAATGCGATGATTATATTTTTTGATTGTCTTGCTTATCCAGTCCATACTACAAACCGCGTATTTCTCTGTGAATTATTTAAACCAATTTACCAACAGCTAAACAATAATTTTTGTCAATAAAGACAGAGTGACTTACTTGTTTTAAATGAACTACAATTAACACCATATGTTAACTCTGTACAGATACAAGATGTAGATGTATTCTGAACACCGCCATTAAAACATTCGATATCCTATAATATCAAAATGAATCTCCTAATCCAAATATAAAAATAGACTAAAAACACAACACAATTTATATGGAAAACAATCACTGGTTTATACACATATAGCACGAGGTTTCGACAAGTATACTCGATAAGAGAATACTTGTCGAAACGTCGTGCTATTTGTATAATATCGTGTTCTGCTTTTAAATGTTAACGGGGTTGATTTGTATTTGTTCTGCTTTTAAAATGTAAACGATACGAGAATACTTGTCGAAACGTCGTGCTATTTGTATAATATCGTGTTCTGCTTTTAAATGTTAACGGGGTTGATTTGTATAATATCATGTTCTGCTTTTAAAATGTAAAGGGGCGGGGTGGAGGGTGTATACGATTATGCCTATTTTTGTTTTTAATTTTAAGCACACCATCCACAAGAGCCATTCTGATCAATGAAAATATAGCGAATAATATCATTTTGTTGTTTTTCTTTTTTATATATTATAAAATTAAACCCATTAACATTTAAAAGCAGAACACGATATTATACAAATACCCCCGTTTAAACGATATTATACAAATGATGCAACCGTTTAATTTTAACAAATTCATGAAATAACTTACAAAACCATGCTTGAAACTATCATATTAACACGATAATATAAAAATAACCCCCGTTTATATTTAAAAACAGAACACGATATTATACAAATGATGCACCCGTTCAAATTTGACGAATTCGTGAAATTAACTGTTACAAAACCAGGCTTGAAGTTAAATTTTACATTAAAATAGGACACGTCATCACGAGCCCGTTTCACTAAAACATGAAATAAAATACTATAGCATGTGCGGTCTTTTCATTGGTTATGTTAGTAAATCTTCATACAAAAGTACAACAAAATATTATAGTAATATTTTGCTATAAGAATTTAGCTCTTGGCTAATGAAAATGCGGTATTGTTTTAAAGGGTATGTTTTCTTCTATAAAGGTCTAATAACTCAATAATATTGACAAGGCCCTTAACTTTACCTTATAATAGTATAATGTGTTGGGCTCATCCACCATATCGCTGCATCCAACATCGCCAATTTTATCAAACTGGTAACATGTGTTAGTGACAACATCAAATGATACCGACATACAATCAACGCCATTACTTCTCATGGTACACAATAACTTATTTGAGGCATTGAACGAATTATAGGCCTCTCCTCTAGGTAGAGTTTTACTTGGACAAGTTGAATGTTTCCACCATCGTTTAAATCGGGGGCAAGCTGTTAATAATGGAATAAAACACATAACCAGAACAAATCTATACATCGACATCGTGGTCTTTATGTTCTCTTTAGCCGCGAATACAAATATCGTGTGCATAATGCTCCGTTCTCATCGTGAATTCTTGTTGTTGAGAAAATAAATAGTTTGCTTTGACGTCAATCCGGGATCTGGCGTGCACAATTCCTTTGCATCAATACGATAAATAAATCACGCCCTTTGGTACGTAGGGATACTGTAAAATCAATTTCTTTGATACACAAAGGAGTAAGCAGACGTCAGCCTGTGGCAGTAAATGTAATCGTTAAGTGCCATTTAGTGATTGAGAAACACATTAAAAAACATTGTAAAAGATATATAAGCCAATCGTTTTGTATTGTTATATATGTATTAGCTTCACAAAGAAAACAGTTGAGGCCTCCTTAATGATTGTCAACGATTTTTAAGATAATAAAATAAAACCAATTACGTGCAATCCAAACCATTAGACAAAATTCGAAGTCCTAATGTGCGTATCCAATCCAATGTTCATCTCGGCTTCTACGAATAGGAGTACTCAAAGTAGGGCTGTTGGTATGGTTGTAAATTTTCTTTAATATAGACACTCTCATTCATATCTGACAGTTCCCAATTTAGAAGAAAATACATTTTTCATATCTAACAGTTCCCGATTTAGAAGAAAAGACATTGCGAATAATGTCTTTTAACCGAGCCTTTAATTTACTATGGGGAATTTTAGTGTACAAGTTACAAAAGTCAAACGTGTGTATATATCAGACTGAAGCAAGTGATCTAGATTGCAAATGATCTAGTAATTCTTTGGAATTTTTTAATATCCACATCTGATTAATACCACTATGATACTTTATTTTGTCATAGTATGTTTAAATACCCTGTTTAACTGCCGTTAGATGTCAATACTTTTTAAAGTGGTGTTGTGGATATCCTGCTATAAAACGGTGTTTGTAGGTTTTTTATATGCAGTTTAGGTATCCAATATAACAAGGGC